CCCCACCCATCTGGCCGGGACTCCCCAGCCACTCTGGGCGACTCCCAACAGAATATTAAAAACACAATAAAACATCAAACATTAAAAACTTCCCTAAACAGGGCTGCCTTCAAATGTTTTCTAAAAGTCAGGTAGTTGTTTATTTCCTTGACATCTGATGGGAGGACGTTCCTCAGGGCAGGTGTCAGTACTGAGAAGGCCCTCTGCCTGGTTCCCTGTAACCTCACTTCTCGCAGTGAGGGAACTGCCAGAAGGCCCTCGGCGCTGGACCTCAGTGTCTGGGCTGAATGATGGGGGTGGAGAAGCTCCAGTTTCTGATTTGATCTCAGAATGTCCTGCCCTGCATTAGGATGTCCCTATTTTCATCGAATAAATGTTGGAGGGTATGGAGTTATCCAACCCCTGAGCCATTTGAAGGCAGCCCTGTATAGGGAAGTTTTTTTTTAATGTTTCATGTTTTCTTATATTTTTATATGTTGGAAGCCGTCCAACATTTGACTGGAACAACCCAGTCAAATGGGTAGGGAATAATAATAATAATAATAATAATAATAATAATAATAATAATGGAATAGGATATCCCCATTTTCATTGGAGAAAATGTTGGAGGGTATGCGGCCCCTGGAAGCTTGCCCATGAGGAAATGTGGCCCTCAGGCTGAGGAAGGTTCACCCCAGTGCCTGCACTAAGAGCTTGGTTATGAAACACAGGCTTGGGTGAGCGTGAGGTCATCAAGTAAGAAGAGCACTTGAGGAACAATTGGGCTTTTCATTAGATCTTTCAAGAATCAGGCTGGGCACAATCCATTGGCTTCCTGGAACATGCACGAGATAACCATCTATATGACACACTTCCATGGCGATTCATTGCTTACAGCAGAATTTGGCTGGGCCATCTGCATACCAGCCCTCGGAGGACACATGCTGGGACTGCTGAAGGTCACATTAACCTGCTGACCTCCTTCCCAGGCTGCCTGTTGGCCCTTCCTGCCACTCTAGAGCAGGGGTCAGCAACCTTTTTCAGCTGTGGGCCAGTCCACCATCCCTCAGACCAGGCACCCCCAAACTCGGCCCTCCAGATGTTTTGGGACTACAACTCCCGTCATCCCTAGCTAACAGGATCAGTGGTCAGGGATGATGGGAATTGTAGTCCCAAAACATCTGGAAGGCCGAGTTTGGCCATGCCTGCTTCAGACCATGTGGTGGGCCAGACTATATTTTGAAAAAAATATATGAATGAATTCCTATGCCCCATAAATAAACCAGAGATGCATTTTAAATAAAAGCACACATTCTACTCATGTAAAAGCACCAAGCAGGCCCCATAAATAACCCAGAGATACATTTCAAATAAAAGGTGACATTCTACTCATGTAAAAACACAATGATTCCCAGACCGTCCACGGGCCGGATTGAGAAGGCGATTGGGCCGCATCTGGCCCCTGGCCTTAGGTTGCCTACCCCTGCTCTAGAGAAACCACTGGCAGCCCTCTACTGATGATGGCTTGATATTGCATGATGTGCCCCCAGTAGGATGAGTGAAGTCTGCCAGCTGTTGTGGAAGAAGCCCTCCAGGGGCGAACCAGATCTTTCCAGATGACAAATGCTGCACTTTTCTCTCTGCGCGACATTTGTGCCCGCGGGAGTAGAGCGAGCAATATCCTGTCCCCTGTTTATAATGGAGGGGAGGGGAATCAAAGAAGATCGGAGTGCAAGTTTGCCAACTTCTTTTCTGGCAGGACTCCAGTGCCTTAACAACAACAGCAACAACAACACCCCCCACCCCCCTGCCAGATAAGAAATAAAAATAAGGTGAAGTTTTCCTTCTTGTGGGGAGTGATGGGGAAAGATCCGTCAGTTACAACTCTGCAGAGGCACCCTTGTGCGGAGAACGCTGGCAACCTGGTGCTGCTGCGGAGAACATACCACTTTTTCTTTTAAAGCATTATCATAGGAATGAAAATAGAGGGCCTTCAAAATGGGAGAGTGGTTATGTGCATCTCAGGCAGGGAGGTAGTTTTGCTGGTGTTTGCTGCTTTCTAAGAAGAGCTACACGAGAGCTCCTGCGCTTAAGTAACACACAGCAACTGCGCGTGCCAAAGGCACACAGCAAGTGTTGGAAACTTATTTGCCACAGCTATGTGCTGCGTCTGCTGGTCGCGTGAAAAAGTCCTGCCTGTGCATTTGCCCATGCGGTATCTAACAGCAAGTGGTCGAATAAATCAATGGCATTTGATTAATGCAATGCTATAATAATAAATGAGTGTTATTTTTTGTAACTTGCATAGGTTGTGTAGAGCTAATTCTGCTTCTAATAATAATAATAATAATAATAATAATAATAAGCTTACAGAATGGGTCTGTCTTGGTTGCGGGGCTTGTGTTTACTAGGCAGTCAAAGCCAGCTGGTGGAGGGAAGCTGACTTGCCTAAGATTTAGGATTATATCGCGCCTCGTAGCATCTCAAACGCATGGCTGCAGAGTGGGCAACTTGTGCAACTGGTCTGTGTAGCTGTGCCTTCAAAGCTGCAGCTTTTGTGGTCTGCATTTTTTAAACAGTGGAGTAAGGTTCACAAATTTCTATTGGCTTTTGGAGCTGCTTCGCTTTTGTGCGTTTTTATTATTGTTTGCTTTTGGTTTTTATTCGTTTAATTTGTTTGCCCTTCTGAGAACTCTTGGGAGTTGAAAGGGTAGGATGTGAACTTCAACAACAAAATAGTCAGCTTTCTATATTCCTGACTCAGTCCATTGGTCCACCTAGCTCAGCATTGTTGACACTGACTGGCAGCTGCTCTCCAGGATTTCAGATCAGGAGTCCTTCCTCCCCGGCCCTACACAAAGCTGCTTTGGCTTGAGCCTTCTGCATGCAAAGCAGATGTTCTGCTACTGAGCTAGAATACTTCCTCACATAACAAAAGGAAAAATAATAGGAACAATAGACAAGCCTCCTAGTTTCCATACCTTACTGTAACTCAACTTGTCTAAGCTGATGTAATGGAAATAATCGCCTATTGCTTTTCTATTTACTCTGCTTCTGGTACTTCCTTTTTCCCTGTTTGCCCTTTGTGCAATGTTAGATGGTAGGCTCCTTGGGGCAGGGAGCTGCCCTCTTCTAACCTTGAAGGCACAATGCGCCCAGTTGGCACAAGGTTAAGAAGACTGGCAACAAAAATAAATAATGATTACGTACCACGAATTAGCAAGTGATATCGCTTGTTATCTCCGGGTTGTGGAATGTTCTTGCTTATTTCTGTACTTCAAGCTGCTGTTAAAGGAAAAGGCCAGGCTGCTATTTTTCTGGACAGTTGGGAACCTCATGTGCTCACCATTGTGTGTACATACATCATAGAATCATAGAATTGTAGAGTTGGAAGGGACCTCAAGGTTCATTTAACCTGAAGTGCAAGTAAATCATCATCATCATCATTATTCAGAACAACAACAATAACAGGAGCCTGAAAGCAGGACCTTAGCAGAACAACACTCTCCCCACCAACTGTATTCATAAGGGTACTACCTCTGGCAGTGAGGAACACTATCTGGCAGGGAGGAACACTATCTGGCAGGGAGGAACACTATCTGGCAGGGAGGAACACTATCTTGGTAGCAATATCTTCCACGACACCCATTTGGGATGCTGTTTTACCAAAACTATCTCACACCTCCTGCCACAGCACCACACATTTTTGTGTGTGCGGGGAGGTGGTGGTGGGAAAGGCTGCCATTCCCTGCAAGTTATATACTGGCAGCAGAGGGGAGCACTACTTTTAGCAGACAATTTAAAAGATAGTAAGGATAAAAATGATGATGCTCTTTAAACAACGCAAGCATGTGGCTAATGTTACACTCACGAGAAGTAGAGATCTTCACTGATTTCACACACACAGTCGTTTCCCGCCCACCCACCTGGTTTCAAAAGCAGCAATGCCACAGCGGAAAACCTGTGAAATATCGCTGAAGTGGAAAAAGAAATGCTGAAACAGGAAGGGTTTGGTGCACCAAGCAAATCTCTTTCGCTCACTGTGTTGTGTGTGTGTAACATAGGAACCTGTCTTATACATCAAGTAAAACTGTTTGTTCGTCTGGTATTATCCACTCTGACTGGAGTCTCCAGCATGTGTCCTTCACCTGTAACTAGCTATTGCACCTGAGGTGCACCTGAGGTCTTCTGCATGCAGTGCTTCCCCCAAAATAAAGCACTTCTCATCCGGTGTAACTTAGGGATAGACGAGCCTCAATTTCTCATTTTCCTAGTCTTAAATTCAGTTTGTCACAATTCTGTAGTGATTTGTGAAAACTCTCCCCCTCCCAAATCCTCAGGAAAATTTGTCAGCGGATTTCTCCTAATAAACACATTTTTTGTATGCAGTTTTGATTAATATACAGAAGCAACTTCTCCAAACATAATGCATTTTTCATATGTAGTTTCCCCTAATCTGTGCATTCTGCCTGCAAACTTTCCCCTGATATATGATTTCTGTTCACATGATTTGGTGGGAAAACTGGATTGCAAAATTTGGAGACGCACGGATTTTGAAGGATGCATTTCGGATTGTGTAACGGTTTGAGAAGTGCAAATTGCTTCTCACACGGGTGGCACTGTGGTCTAAACCACAGAGCCTAGGGCTTTCCGATCAGAAGGTCGGCAGTTCGAATCCCCATGAAGGGGTGAGCTCCCGTTGCTCAGTCCCAGCTCCTTTTTGAAAGCACATCAAAGTGCAAGTAGATAAATAGGTACCGCTCTGGCGGGAAGGTAAAATGTGTTTCTGTGCGCTGCTCTGGTTCGCCAGAAGCAGCTAAGTCATGCTGGCCACATGACCTGGAAGCTGTCTGTGGGCAAACACCGGCTCCCTCGGCCTATAGAGCGAGATGAGCGCACAACCCCAGAGTTGTCTGCAACTGGACCTAACGGTCAGGGGTACCTTTACCTTTTTAAAACCCCCTTTACCTGGCCTTTGCATACCCGCCTGCTACTTGGTTTTTGTAGCGGGAGATGCCAGGGTTGGAACCTGAGATGCTGTCTCTCCCCAAAGGGTGTTGTGCTATGTCAGATATCCTAGGGGGAAGCCCCCACTGTGGAGGAGATAAGGGGTTCAGCACCTTCAGTGTTTATTGCACAACAGGGGATTTTACCAGTGCTGCTGAAATCTGTTCTTCTGTAAAAGGGTCAAATGTGCAGGAGTCCTGTTCACTGTTGCATTGGGTCAGAGCTGTGGCTCAGCTTCAGTTCCATGGAAGTGCAGAAGAGAGTATTGGATACCGCTTTTGGAGAATCTAAGGCAGAGGTGGGCAACCTGGGACCTTCAATTATAGTCCAGCAACATCTGGAGGGCCAACGGTTCCCCACCTTTTCCTTCAGATTTTGAGTTTTAAAAGGAAAGGCTCCAGATCTCATAGGTTGCAAATATATGCTGGAATGTGTATTGGTAACATACACTTTTCCCTACCAGCCAGTCTGACCTGGTAGAAGGCAGCTTCCTCTGTTCCCAGAATTCCCCTGGTGTGTATCTGTGCTTTGTCCCGCTGCCTAGCATTCTAAGGCTAAAATAACAAAAGCATAACTCCATCCTTCTTTTTAAATTAAATATAAATATTTGAATTCTGCAGTAGGCAATACATTTACAACTCCCCCTCGTCTTACGCAACGCACTCAAACAGGCGTGACCGTTGTGTGCTAGTGTGAAATCCCAGTCTAATAATAAAAAAAAAGCAAAAACAAACAAAACGGGGATATACCGCCCCCCCAAACCCTAAACCACTCCCAAGCAATTCTGGAAAGATCGAAACAAAAATGTCAGAACCATCAATAGCAGAGAAATACACTTAAGGCAAAAAGTAATAACAAGGAATAACTTATTAAAAAGAAAAGAAAAAGAATCCCACAAATGAAATCAACAGATCCCATTGGCTTTTGGCTTCCTATATCCTCCCACGCCCCATCCTTGGCTTTTTTAATAATTGGATTTTAATCCTCAGCATCATCCTGTCATTTTAAATGTGCCTAAAGAGAGTCCTGGCAAGTCTTAAAATGGCATAAACGTTGAGCACTATCGCCACCTCCCTGTCGGTCCAGTGCAGTGCAGTGTCCTGTTTGAAGCGCAGTGCCTGGTTTATTTGCTTGTCTTTAATTAAAGGGGATGGGCGGGAGTCTAGGAGACACCCCAGCTAAAGAGGGGGGCAGAGGGAATGATTTAAACCACAGCATCGAGCCAGGAAAAAAATTAAAAGGCAAGCACTAGGGAGGGGCCCATGCTTGGAGATTTCCCAGAATCATGCGGCTGGTGGAGAATCTTGCCTTGACGGCAGGGGATTTGCCCTCGAGGCAGCTCTGTTTCAGGGTGAGGAGAGAGAACAAGCATCACATAGTCCCGTCACTGTCCCGGCACCTTACTGTGCACCGTTTTCAGCACCCACTAGCTTCTTACGCCATTGCTTTTGTCTGACAGACAGCCATGCCCGCCATTTTGAATGCGGATTCTTACAAGCCAAGGCAGATTTCCCGGAAAGTCTGTCCTCTGTTTCAGCCAAGGCAGTGTGCTTTCCGCCGTTTTCAAACCCACTCTTCACGTCCTGGTGCGAAGGCAGGCAGGATGTTGGTTTCCTTGCTGCCCAAGGGAGATGGGCTTGGTCCCAGTCAGAAGATGGCGAGAGGGCTGTCGGCCATCTTGGCTGCCGAGCCAGCTACCTGCCACCGTCCCACCCCACCCCACCGATATACACACAAGGAGAATTGGGCACCCTCAGGAGGAAAGCGAGAGTCGCAAGTCTATCACCCTGGCAGTTCTGAGTCCGTTAGCCACAAGTGAGCGGAGTCCGTTCCCTTTTCTCTTTCTCCGGAGGTGACTGGCATTTGGCAGGGGATGGGCACGAGTCATACGTGGGTCTGCATGCGCTGGTGAGCAGGGCGCCCATAGTCAGACTGTTGGGACAAGGACGTGTAGGAGAAGCGAGAGCAACCCGAGACTTTGCTGGCCTGGTCCGACTGCCCGTAGCCGCTCTCCGCTTTCTCGTAGCTGCTCGGTTTGACGTAGCTGGTGAAGGCCCGGCTATAGGGTGCAGTGAGGTAGGCCGTCCCACTGTAGATGTTCTCCTGGGGGAAAAGACGCTCATGGGGGTCGTAGGCTGAGCGGGAGCCAGGCGTGCCCAGGGTATAGCGGTGAGCGTATTCGTACAGCTTGGGCTGAACCGGCCCCGTGGAAGGGTACAGAGAGGTCGCCCCGAACAATGGGCGGGGGGCCGGCGTGTACTCCGAGAAGCTGCTAACCAAACTTGGTTCCTCATGGGCGCGCACCTTGTAGTAGCCATTGGTGGGATCCTATGGAAGAAAAAATATATATCTGTATTGGAATGCCAGTGAAGCAAATGTCAGGATGTGCCCCAAAGAATCTGAATATATGGGAAAGAATTGTGTACAGCTGAAAACGCTGGCAGCATTAAGATAAATTCAACAGGGTAAATAAGTTTTGATGGATGCAATAATGGAATACTGAATGGCATTGCTTTTGTAAAATGTACAGGGATTTATGATATGCAAAATGAACTATGGAAAGAGAAGAAGGGAAGTCATTGATATCTTAAGGATGTAAAATGAGTATTTTCAATGGTAAAACAGAAAATGTAATAATAATTATATGCAAAGAATCTGAGAGAGAATTGACAGTGAGGCGTAGTGGTTGGAACTTAGGAGACCCAGGCTGAAACCACCTCTGGCCACTTCCAAGCACAGTTAGACCCCTTTTAGCAGTCATGGTTTCCCCCAAAGAATCCTGGGAACTGCGGTTTGTTAAGGGTGTTAAGAGTGGTTTGGAGATTCTTCAGATAGCTAAAAATTCCCAGAGTGGCTTAAAAATTCCCAGAGCCGCGGAAGCCATGCTGGATGTTCATCTTCTGAAAATTGTTTGAAAACTGGAAAACTCACTTCTGGATTTTGATCGTTCAGGAGCCGATTTGTTTGGGAGCCAAGATGTTTGAGATCCAAGGTACGACTGTATACTACCAATTTAGGATTACTGCCAATTGTCAAGTGACTGGTTTTTTAACTGGGTTTTGCCACCAAATTTTAACTATGTTTTTAAAATCATTGGTGCAGTTCTTTCATTTATCCTTTTTTGTACATTGCCCAGGGGTTCTTTTGGGGGAAGGGCCATTTACAATTATGACAAATAATCATAATAATCATTGATGTGATTTTGTTGCTTAACCATAGCACCCAAGAGAGCTACTTCTCTGTCCCTTTCTACAGCTGGGGAGCTAAATTTCAACTACTGGGACCTGGCTTTAACTGAGCTGCCTTATGTATTTACAAAAAAGAAGAGGGCCTTTTCTGCAGTGGCACCCACACTCTGGAATGCCCTCTCCAAATAGGCACATTTGGTGCCCATATTACAATCTTGTCAAGTCCTATGCATTTTAGGTGACATTTTAGGTGGAATTTTGCCTTACTTCGTTTCTCACTTCTTTTAAAAACGGTTTTCACCTGCCTCTGCTTGGCTGAATATAACAATATTTTATTTGTTTATTTAAGAATCTATTGTTTATTTGTTGGTTTTTATGTTGTATTTATGTTTTGAAATCTTTGGTGGTGGTGAAGAAGTATTTTAAATGATTAAACATTTTTTGTATGGCTATTACTCCCATGCCCTTATTGGAGGAGACAGATAGCTAGAAAATGGGACAAGCTTTTGGTATGGATTAGGAAGGCATTTTTAAATGTTCGTGTGACTCTTTGGTCTTCGAGAGGTTCAGAAAGGTATACTTAGGGCAGTGGTGGTGAACCTGTGGCCCTCCAGATGTTTGGACTCCAGATGTTATCAGCCCCTTCCAGCCTGGCCAAGAGTCAGGGATGATGATGGGAGATGGAGCCAAGAACATCTGGAAGCCACTGGCTGGCCAACCCTGATGTAGGGCTCTTGTACGGTAGGCAGAGCGGTCAGCCTCCCAAAGTCCCAGCTGAGCTCACCTTCAGCTCTTGGCTCCCTTCGTCATCCTCCAGGATCTCACTGTGCTCAGTGTGGGATGTAGCTGGAGACTCACTGCTTGTGGCCTGGAGGGAGATGAAGGGGGAAAGATGAGCAGCCTATATAAAATGCCCTCCTTGTCCTGGCTTGAGTTCTTTAGGTCCCTTAGGACCAGGCGAGGCAAGACAGTGGAGATCCATGACAGCACCTCCTCTTGTCTTCTCTTTATCATTCAGGCTGTGAGGGCCATTCCCTCACAGGCCTAATTTCAGAGGCATAATCTGCAGGCTCAGAGAAACAATGAGGCTGGCAGAAGTACATTGTTTTAAGCTCAAGGGAAGACCCCCACCTCTGGCTACCAGCCCAAACCCTCCTGTCCTATCAGTGACCAGTCTAAGGGAGGAGGGGCTGGGGGAAGACAAATTATTACTGAGTTTTGAATGGTATGGAAAGGGTGGAGAGAGATCTTCTCTCTCATCCTACTAGAACCTGGGCATGGGCGCCTGATGAAATTGATCAAGGACACAATGGATGGTTTAAACCAGCGTTTCTCAGTTGTTTTTGGACTACAGTTCCCCTCATCCCTGACCATCCTGCTAGCTAGGGATCATGGGAGCTGTAGTCCAGCAACAGCTGGAGACCCAAGGTTGGCAATCACTGGTTTAGACTGCTGAAATTAATAGACATGGCACATTTATTTATTTAAGTCATTGTTTGCGTTTCTAAGTGCCGTGTGCTTAAAAACAATCCATAGAAAATGGGACAACAAAACATTAAAGTTTGCCATAAAGCCAATCCCTACTCCAACATGCCTGCTGAAACAAGGAAGTCTTTTGTCACGTGTGTGAAGTGCAAGAAAGGTGCCCGTGGGAGTTATAAGTAATATGAGCATTGTTATATAATGGACTTGGGCCCTCAACACTGAATTCAGGGCTTCTAGTAGTTAAGTTATGGGGGACCCCAACAGAGACTCCCCGAAGGATCTCAGTGGTCAGGCCAGGATATAAAGGATCAGTCCTTAAGATAGCCTTGACCCAAGTTGTTAAGGGCCTTGCAAATTAATACAGGGACCCTGAACTTGTCCCAGTAACACATGGGCAGCCAGTATAAGCTTGAAGCATGTGCTGGTGGTAGGTAGCCTGTCCCAATCAATGGTCTAGTTGCCGCATTTTGCACCAGCTGGAGGTTCCAGACCAGACACAAGGGTAGCCCCACAAAGAGCGCATTGCAGTGCTCAAGTCTTGGTTAATTATCAGTATGCAAGGATGGCTGCTAGCTTAAATGGCCTTTTAGAAGAGTTAGGCAAAAATTCATGGCGGGTAGAACAAATTGGTACCATGACAGGAGCAATGTAGCCTCCATGTTCAGAGGCCATGTCGCAGCCTATGTATACCTGGGTGCCAGTTCTTGTAGGTCGGCGAAACCCTCTAACAACCCAATGAAGACTGAGCATTAAAAAAGAGGGCCCAGACTTTGCTAACTAATGGAGTGGGGAGAAAAATGGAAAACCAGGTTGGTAGGGGGAATGGGATATATTGGGGAAGTGCATGGCTGGCAGGCCAGACACCCTGAAGAGCACAGAATTGTAGACTTGTAGAACTGGAGGGGACCACAAGGGTCATCTAGTCCAACCCCCTACAATGTAGGAATCTTTTGCCCACCTTGGTGCTCAAACCCATGACCCAGAGATTAAGAGTCTCATGCTCTAATGACTAAGCTATCCCAGCACTCCACCCTGCAACATTTTATTGTATGCCCCACTTGCACTTTTGAATACTGGAGGCTTGTGGGTTTTCCGGAAACATCTGCTTGCCCACTAGTGGGAAAGGGATGCTGGACTCTGGAAGGGCTCTACTTGTATTCTTAGCAGGCTGTGTGCTTTGTGCTTTGAAGTAGTAGTAATAGTAATAATAATTTATTATTTATACCCCACCCATCTGGCTGGGTTTCCCCAGCCACTCTGGACAGCTCCCAACCGAATGTTAAAAACACACTACAGCATTAAACATTTAGCACTTCCCTAAACAGGGCTGCCTTCAGATGTCTTTCAAAAGTCAGATAGTTGTTTATTTCCTTGACATCTGATGGGAGAGCGTTCCACAGGGTGGGCACCACTACTGAGAAGGCCCTCTGCCTGGTTCCCTGTAACCTCACTTCTTGCAGCGAGGCAACCACCAGAAGGCCCTTGGCGCTGGACCTCTGTGTCCGGGCTGAATGATGGGGGTGGAGACGCTCCTTCAGGTATACTGGGCCAAGGCTGTTTAGGGCTTTAAAGGTCGGCACCAACACTTTGAATTGTGCTCAGAAACATACTGGGAACCAATGTAGGTCTTTCAGGACCGGCATTAAATGGTCTCAGCGGCCACTCCCAGTCACCAGTCTAGCTGCCGCATTCTGGATTAATTGTAGTTTCCAGGTCACCTTCAAAGGTAGCCCCATGTAGAGTGCATTGCAGTAGTCCAAGCGGGAGATAACCAGAGCATGCACCACTCTGGCGATACAGTCTGCAGGCAGGTAGGGTCTCAGCCTGTGTATGGAGGCTGAGATGGAGCTGGTAGACAGATGGAGCTGGTTGACAGCTGCCCTGGACACAGAGTTGACCTGCACCTCCATGGATAGCTGTGGGTCAGAGGCACAGTTACCTCATTCAGGACTAGGGAGCCCCCCACATCTGCCCCCCCAAACAGTACTTCTGTCTTGTCAGGATTCAACCTCAATGATAACTTCCATCATCTCTGGTCCCAACTGGCTGTGTTGGGTGGGGCTGAGGAGTTGCACAGTCCCATTTGGTGGGACCCATTGCAATAAATTAACATGACTAGCTTTGGCCCATGAATTTAAATGGGTCTACTCTGATTAGAACTTAGTTGGCAACAACCCTTGGAGTCCCAGAACATCTGGAGGGTGAGGGGCTCCACACCCCTGCTCCATAGGCTTGCAAGAGAGGACCTCCAGAGAGTGCTTTCATGTATATTAAGTACCTTTCGAGTCTTTGGGCAGCGCATCAGGACACCGGCTCTACTCACCATGGGCTCCTTGGCATCGTCTTCGGTCTCGCTCGGCCGGCTGGGGCTGCTCTCACTGGTCGTGATCTGTACCAGGATGTCTGCCTTGGAGAGCTGCGTTCCCCGCTTGGCTGCAGAAAAGGCAGAGTGACAGATACAGGCATGAATTCGGCCTTCCTTGCCTGCAGCTCCACACAAAGATGACCTTCCTTGTGTCATAGAACTTGAGCTTTTGGATGGACGCACACATGAAGGTATCACAGGAGGAGATACCTTAGGCCCTATTGTGCTTCCTTAAATGTCTGCTCCTTTATACAGGGCAGCATGGCTGAGTGGTGCAACACTGCAGGAGATTCCAGGTTCAATCCCAAGCACCTCAAGGTAGGGCTGGGAGAGAATCCTGCCCCAAACCTGTCCTGAACCTGTTTCTGAACTGCAGTTAGTCTGTTTTTTTCTTTTTTTTTAAAAAAAGTGGATTTGTCACGCTAGGGCATCAGAGCCCTTTAATCTACTGTTTAGTGGCACAAATTTAACATTTTCCAGCATGTGCTCCTAGATGCCCATGCAGATAGGATTTGAGTAAGAACAGCAGTGTGTGTGGGGGCGACCTTTCTGTTTTAATTCTGTGATAAGGTGAAGGTATAGAGTAACTATAATATGCAACATAAATTGAAATTATGGGAGAACTATGGAGGGAGAGAGGGGAAGTCGTAGGTGGAGTGATTGGTTGTTAAACTTGAAATGTTACTGAATTGCTTGTTATCTGTCTATCTATCTATCTATCTATCTATCTATCAATCTATCTATCTATCTATCATCTATCTATCATCATCTGGTACGGTCTTGCTCACTCTGCTTGGCAGTGCCAGATCTCCAAACACAGGACTTGGAGCCCCTTTTGAACTGGGAGACACTGGAGAAAGAAGTTTCTCCAGGTGAGGCATGTGCTCTGAGCAGGTGTGCTGAGCAATGGTCCCTCCTCTCCAGTAATGACAGAATGCCTCCTGCTGGGACTTGACCTCCCAGCCTCCCTTCTCTTCCCTGCTGTGCTATTCCGGCTCGTGTCACCTCCTTCAAACACAATGCAGGCTCCTCAGGCTTTCTTTAGTCCTCCAGGTGCACTTCAAGTCTGGAACAACCTACAAAGCAATGGGGGTGAGAGGGGGCTGCGGGGATCCTCACCTTTCCCACAGCGCTTGCGCCGGTAGCAGAGAGAGAAGAAGACCACCAGGAGGAGGAGAGCAGCAACGCCGGAGGCAGCCAAAGCACCCAAAATTAGGACGGACAGGACTTCTGATGGGAATAAGATGGGTTATTTACACACGCGTGCGCGCACACACGCACTTTTTATTTGTCGTATTAGGTAGCCTTGCTCTCTCTTGAAGAAATTCAGAGCAATTTACAAGGGTTTATTATCCCATATTGTCACTGCAACTACTCTGTGGCTGCTGAGAGATAGCGATTTGCCCACAGGAGGTTTGTGGCTATGATTTGAACTCCGATCTCCCTGCTCTGAATTTGACACTAGGCGGCCCAGTAGGGGGAGGGCCTGGGTCAGCACTTCGCATCCTCAGGCAGCTTCTAAGGGCTCACCCATACTGCCTGCTCTGGGATTCCCCACAATATTATTTTTCTAGTCTGATATACTCTGGGCAGTGCCATGCTAGGGGCATTGTGGGAAATAATGATCATCATCATATCATCACTTTTTCCAGAAAGGTGAGCTCAAAGCAACTTGGAGAAGCAAATGTTAAAAATAAGTGGAAGGACAAGAGGAAAAACAACCTAAGGTCCTCACCTATAGTATGTATAAAAAAAGCAAATGCAATGGAATCCTACCCCCATTAAAAGATAAGCAGAAATTAAGGTCCAAAGAACCTGGAGGAATATAAATGGCTGTGGCTGATGGGATTTTGAGTCTGCCAGCATCTGGAGGGCTGCAGGTCTTCCCTCCACACCCCAGGCTTCCTGGCCAAAGATGGGAGCCTCACCTTGGCGGCGCAAGCTGACTGCAGCAGAGCGGGCACCAAAGCGGTTCCAGGCCGTGCAGTTGTAGGGCAGGGCAAAGTCGGAGTCGTGGGTTGGGTCGATCAGCAAGGCCGAGAGTACCCCTTGGTCCGTCACCACTGTGTCCACAGTGAAGCGATCCAGCGATCCAGCATCCAGCACCCGTTCGCCCCATGCCCAGGCCTGCGACAAGGGGAAAGGGAGAGATCAAGGCTATGAACAACACATAGCTGTCAACTTACAGATTTGAAAATAAGGGATCAGCAGCCTCGAAAATAAGGGATCAGCAGCCAAAATAAGGGATCAATAAATACTTTGATAAAATACATATTTTGTTGGGTGCAAATGGCTTTAGATACCTATTAGGTCCATAAGTTACCATATAGCATATATTCAACACAAAAAAACAGCAACAATTTGTTGTTGACAAAGGACAGCTGGACATAGAAAGGTCCCCATTACCTCCAGTAGCTTATTTAAGGGACATCATCAATAAGGGACAGCAGCGGGACATGGCGCTGGGATAAGGGACTGTCCCACCAAATAAGGGACGCTTGACAGCTATGGAACAGCAGTGGGGCATTGGGACAGAGGTGGGCAGGGGCGCAACACCTGGACCTAAGGGAGAATGGGGTCACCTGCAGGAGAGCTACCTGCAAACACTCTGCATGCCAAATAAGCAAGAGAGATATCCACCAAATAAGCCGAGCAGAGGGAGAGGGAGGTTACATCAGCTTGCAAGGCGACGGGTCAAACGGCTACCCTTTTATTTTGCAAAATTCCCCATTATGCTCAGCCAAAATGTCACAAACTAGTGAGCAAGCTTTTGAGTCTGCCAGAAGACTTTACCAGGCTGGATGCTAAGCAAAACAGGAGGGTGGGTGTGCTAAAAGAGCTGGCTTGTGGCTATACTGTTTGCATTTGTCATGTATTCATTATTTGCTGTACACCTTAGAAAGGTCATGGCAATGGTGGTTGTCATGGAGAGCTCCTGCACTTTGGAATGTATCCTTATGCCATTGGTAGGCAGATGGGAAACTCAAGTGTGCTAAGAGGGTTTTGACCCAGAGCCAGTGCATGTGTGACAGTTGTCACATGCACACTCTTTAGAAACACAACTCCATGTGGCATTTCCTCCACCTTGTGGCTGGCTGATCACGTGCATCGTGCAAAAAACAACATAAAAAACCACTATGGAAAAAATGGGATCGTTTGCACCGTACAAAAACAAAACAAAACATAAACTAACAACTCATGGTGCACCAAAATCACCATGCAAGAATCTTTCAGATTCTTGTGCGCAACATAGAAAAATTCTTGTGTGAAATGTAGAAAAATAGACCACACACAAAAATCTGCTTATTTTGTCCAGGCTGCTGCAGATCTGTTTGATCTCTGCCTCTCGCGTAGAAGGGGGCTGGGAAATCACCAGAACTGCACAGTCAGTCACGACCCACAAATAGCTCTCCAGATGTTAATAGGCACCTTGCGTAGTGATTTAAAGCTGCAAGGGGAGCGCTAGGCCCTCTGAGGATTTCTCGGCGTGGTGGGAACAAAGTCAATAAACCTTTGCTCTGCTTGGTGTATCCAAGTTGTATCATTCACTGACTTTCAAGAATGCAGGGTTCCCCACTCCCCCTTTTCTAAAAACCCACCAGCCTCTCAAAAACCTTTGATCTGGGATTGGGTGGGGGTGGCAATCTGCCATCTGGAGGCAGGTGGAAACACATATGGGATCCTGATTCAGGCTGGGACTGGAGGAGGGGGTTTAACCCTTCCCCCTCCGCGCTGTTCTCTCAGGTGAACACCGCACCCCTCCCCTTAAGCCATTTGCCCGAGAGCAATCACGGCATCTATGTTTTGACTCATTAGCTAGTAGGTTGTTGTTTTTTAGCAGGTGGAGGGAGATTTCTGCCAGAAAAAACAACAACAGCACAGAGGGGCAAAGGTTAACCCCAATTGTGGGGAACCTTTGGTCCTCCAGACGTTCCTGAACTATAACTCCCATCAGCCCCAGTAGGCATGGTCAATAGCCAGGGATGATGGGAGTTGCAGTTCAGCAACAACTGGAAGCCCCAAAGTTCCCCACAAAGCCCTGCAACTCTAATCTGAACTGGACAAAAAGCAAAAATAAAAAATCCCATGGATCTCCTCTAGTTGGTCAAGGAGAAATTAAAAGGCCAGAACGCTGTGTGCTTTGGGATAGGAACATTGGGATTCTGGGCCAAGAAACGCTGAATTCAGTGACCCATATAAATCCTGCAGATTAAGCAACTTTTGCACACTGAGCTGCTTATTTTGCACAATTCATTCTGCCACTGCTGAAGGGGGCAAAGGGCAGTGCTGTGTCTGGCGGAGCCCCACACCCTCCGATGGAGAGCCTGCTCAGAATGTGTCTCAGCTCAGAGCAACCCTGAAGCTGCAGAATAAACTCATATGGGATATCGCAAGTAGTTTCGGTTGGGGAACGACCATAACTCCATTGTAGAGCACGAGCTGAAGAGCTCATTGAACGAATCCTTATTTTTAACTGCAGCTTTGTCTGCGGCAGCTCACCCCTGATTTGATGTGTTTTCATTTTTATAATGCGCTCGTGTCAAATTTGTTATAAGCAGTCCTGACCATCACTTCCCTCCCCCTTTTTCCAGCTGAAAGGCAGGGTAAAAATACTTGTATAATAAAGAAATAGTGAAATTCAACTTGAAACTATAGTGAAAGCTGCCAGAGCTTGCCCCAAGATGGGCAGGAAAAATTGCACATATGTTTTAAGAACAGCTATCCAATAACCGCTGTGCCTGTGTAATATTATGTACTTCCAGAGGGCTAGAAACCTGCGTACTCTTGATTTAAAAGTTGAGACTTCCAGAATGCTGAATTCCTGAGCTTGCAAAGTGCTACTATAATAATTTATAATAATAATTCATTATTTATAATGCGCCCATCTGGCCGGGTTTCCCCAGCCACTCTGGGGAACAGAATTAATGATAATAATAATATTTTAAAAAATGATAAAACATCAGACATTAAAAACTTCCCTAAACAGGGCTGCCTTCAGATGTCTTCTAAAAGTCAGATACAGCGGTACCTCAGCTTACATACGCTTCAGGTTACAGACTCCGCTAACCCAGAAATAGTGCTTCAGGTTAAGAACTTTGCTTCAGGATGAGAACAGAAATCGTGCTCCGGCGGCGCAGCGGCAGCAGGAGGCCCCATTAGCTAAAGTGGTGCTTCAGGAGAAGAACGGACCTCCGGAACGAATTAAGTACTTAACCTGAGGTACCACTGTAGTTGTTTATTTCCTTGACATCTGATGGGAGGGCGTTCCACGGGGCAGGTGCCACTACCAAAAAGGCCCTCTGCTGGGTTCCCTGTGGCTTCACTTGTCGCAGTGAGAGAGCCACCAGAAGGCCCTTGGAGCTGGACCTCAGTGTCTGGGCTGAACGATTGGGGTGGAGATGCTCCTTCAGGTATACTGATGTACACACAGGTTAAGGGACAAGGAACAGCAGGTCTGGAAAGGCTAGCAGACTGAAGCACTTACTATCCTATCGGGAGGTGGAACGCTCCCCACTAAGCACTCCAGCCGTGCCTTGGTCCCCACCGCAGTCTGCTGGCTTGGTTCTGCGCTGATAATGGGCGGACCTGGAAAGAAGGACACAATCAGGGCAGTGTTCAAAACAGAAGAGGCCCTTTCTCCCCTCCCCATCCCTTAGTTGCTGTTTTAGAAGGCTACAGGAGCTGGCTATGATTTGGTTAAAAAGGGAGTGTCTCAGGTGTAGAGGCTTGCAGATTTCATCAAGGCTCCCTCCTATCTTTCCCAGGAAAGCAGGGCATACAGCTCAATGGTAAAGCATCTGCCATGCACGCAGAGCAGGAAGATCCATGGTTCCATCTCTGACTTTTCCAGGTAGGAACAAGAAGGACAATGGTCTAAGCTAAGCCAGCTTCTTATGGTCCCCAGGCAAGGCAAGCTGCAATCCTATCCCATCTTTGCTTTACTCTGCTCCCTTTAACAGTCTTGCCACACCCGGCACCCAGTCCCGACGCAAGGCCAGGCCCCTCACCGTTCACAGCCAGGGTCACCTCCTTCTCCGCCACTCCAATGCGCGGCACAATGGCTTTGCACACATAAACGCCGGCGTCTTCCTGCGTCACCGCCTTGAGATGCAAAGTGTTGCCGTTGCTCAGTACCTGTTGGTACAAGGAGTTCTGGTCTTGGCTCTCTTAGGACCAAAGGAATCTTTCCAGCAGGGGTGGGGAGTCTCTCTCCTGACCCCAGTCCCTGCGGGTAATTTGTTGGGGGCTGCATGCTGGCGATGGGCGGGGCCAGAGGCAAAGTGGGCGGGGCATCCTTCACTCTCTTGCCTTCTGTGTTTATAGACAAGTGAAGCAGTGGCAGGTGGGCCTCCGAGATCTATTTCTTTTCTTCTTCCAAAATTTGTGTAATTTGCAAATTACAATCCCAGAGCTATTTATTTTTTTAACTTCCAACATTTGGGGAAAAAAGGGGGTGGAAATTGGCATGATTTGAAAGTTGCAAGCAAGTTCAGAGTGCATGGGCTCCTGGTGTAAATCACTCGCCGTATTAGACTCTTTCTATTTCATATTTGTTTCTCGTTGTTGTTATAATAAAAATGTGAACAGGGGGCTGATGCTGCACTTACCACACTAGACCCTTTCTTGGTCCAGGCCAGGGTGAGAGGCGGATTCCCAGTCCAGGTACAGGTGAAAGAGGCGTCTGCACCAATGTCAACCGTCAGGGGCTTTGGCTGAGAGACGAGGCGGGGTCCGACTGCAGACAGAAAGAAAGGGGTTGCCAAGAGTTAGTTGAATGGAGCGGCTGACCTTCAGCCTCAGTCTCCCTATCTGCAATATGGGAATAACGATACTGGAAGTATTGATACTGGAAGATACTGGAAGTAGCTACCTTCTGGAGGTTTTGTAAGAATCATGGCAAGAGGGTATAAGAAGCACATTGACCTTGTAAATTAGGGTTGGGGTGAAAATTTAGAGCTAGTGTCTGACTAATCTATGAGCATCCCTGCTTGAATTTTTGTGAACAGGGCTGGAGCAGACACAACCCATTCTGAGCAGGGTTGTCACACTCTGAGCCAAGGTCAAGTCCATCAAAGGACCTATTTGCAAACTGAAGGAAATGATGTCTCCAATAGCTTGCATAGGGGCACTTCCAGCAGGGCTGATCACAAAATAACGGTTGCTGTCTGTGTGTATGTGTGCAAAAGCTTAACCCCTTGCAAAGTGGGCTATCCCCTCCCACTAGAGCATCTGTTTTTGCTGGAACAAGGCTTTTTGCTGGAGCAGAGAGAGGTGGGATTAATAGTTGTTCCACACTGACCACCCGTAATATTTCCAAGTACTCAAAAAACATTCCAATATTTGTGAGAGCACTCAAAAGTGATTGCTTGCAACGCACCTCTTCATCATTTCCAAGGCAAACAGAGGTTGTTCATCCATCCTGAATGTAATTCCAAGGATTCCTGTCATGACCTACACTAGCCAAACACCAGTTGGGCAAAACAGGATGGCAAGGGACTGTCTTGAGGTGAGAGCCTGCTAGTCCATTATCTGAACTTATCACAATTACATACCCTAATTACATTACCCATAAGCAGAGTAAACCTTGGGAGACCCTCTGTCAAACTCCATTTTAGGCACATTGAAAGCTGCCTTCCACAAGGCCAGGCCGGGGGTCACCAATTTTCTTGGGACAGTGGGCACGCTTTGGCCTTTGAGAAAGTGCCGTGGGAGCAAAATGGCTGCCGGTGTGCATGTGGCATTGTGACACAAAATGGCTGCTGTGAAGGCCATGTCGGAGCGGCCAAGCAAGTTCAAGCAGGAACGGAGCAGGAAGAGTAAATGTCTTTTACACATTGTGGATTTTTGAGGGTGTATTGACTGAGACTTAGGAGATACTGGTGGGCACTTGCAGTTGTCACACTGGTGACCCCAGAGTCTGGCAATTTATCCACCCTGCTCAGTGTTTTTCACTTGGACTTTCTCTGGCATTCTCAGGTCTCCTAGAGGGGTCTTTCCCATTGCTCTACTTCTTGATTCTTTTAAGGGAAGATGGCGGGGGCTGACCCTGGGATCTTCTGGGTGCCAAGTGTGTTCTCTGCCACCGAGCTACGCTCCCCCCCCATCTTGGGATCTGGAGCCGCATCTGTTACTTACAATGCACATCCACCAGCGTGCTGACATTGGTGCTGCCCACAGCGTTGGACACCTCACACGACACAGGCTCTGTGAAGAAGGACTGGTCAACCGTTGCCTCGTAGCTGTCGCCATTGGCCTCCGGAATAGGCACACCTCCTTTCGCCCACCTGCGAAGAGATGTGTGGTCATAGGAGAGATTGGCACAAGGGATCCTTTATGAAGAAAGGTTCCCCTACGTCAGGGCCAGGGACATTCCGGCTCATGGGCCAGATGTGGGTCGCAAGGCCTCCCCATTTTGGGCCACAAGGCCATTTCCCCCTTAAAACTATGCCCATCATATGTGACACCAGGTGCAGGGCAGGTGGGGATGCAGCTTCAGAGAGCAGGATTGAACTCCCCACACACCTGCTGACACATGGGGAGTTCAATCTTGCTTACCTCAGGTGCACCAGCCAGTTCCCAGTACCTGAACCCTGCACAAAGCAGGATTGAGCCCCCTGATGTGTGGAGAGTTCACTTCTGCTTTGTGCAGGATCTCTGCTCATCTCGGTGGGTCAGCTTGGACAGCTGGGTGTGACAACCCACTTGTCAATCACCCAAAGTCAATACGATGTCAGGTGGTTGGTTCAGCCTACCCATCAAAGTTGGCCCATTGTAGGAAGGGAAGATCTCTGACCCAAAGGACCAAAAAAATATCCCCCTCTCCTGCCCTGTGTGGAATGCCATACAATGCTGGGGAATATTTTATTTAGAAAGCAGGTGAATAAGGAGGGTGTGGGGACTTGAGAGAGATATATAAAATCATGCGCTGTGTGGGGAAAGTGAACCGAAGTTCCTCTCCCTCCCCGGGGCCCATCCAATGAAGTGGAAAGGTGGGAGATTCAGAATGGACAAAAGGAAACGACTTCCTCACACAGGGCAGAGTCGAACTGTGGAACTCTCCGCCACAAGATTTGGAGATGGCAACCAACTTAGGAGGTTTAAAAGGGGGATTAGGCAGATGCTTGGAGGGTCAGGCTGTCAGTGGGTACTAGTCATGATGGCTATGCAGTAATGCCAGTGCCTAAGAAGGCGACAGAGGGCCAAATTGCTCTCACGTCCTGCATTTGGGCTTCCAGAAGGCATCTGGCTGGCCACTGAAGGAAACTGGATGCTGGACTAGATGGACCTCTGGCCTGATTCCCCCGGGCTCTTCTCTTCCTTTGAAACACGAGGAAGGGGCAAGAACCACAGCAAAAGAAAGCAAATACACTTTGCTGTCTTGCTAACCGGCAAGCGTCAACGAGCATGCCATCTCCAGTGTTGCCATTAGAGGGCATCCCAGTCACACCATTGCCACTGCATGATTCTGATGGGCAGGCTGCCTGCTCTTTCTAGCCCTTACCTGTAGCCTGTCACTTCGGGGTTGGAGGTGGCCGTGCAGAGGAAGCTCACTTTGCCACCCTCGGCCACAGTTTGTGGCTGCACCGAGAGCATGACAACCGGTGGATCTGCAAGATGGAGGGAGAGGAACTGATGAAAATCCTGAACATTTATTTCCTTTAGTGTAAAGGCCCCAGTGACCTGGCTAAGGGATCCCCAAAAAGTAAGGTTTATGCCTTATTTCTCCCCGAGGCCTTTATCCCAACTGAGAAATGGGTACCAAAGTTTGTGCCTATAGGCAGCATCAGCTTGGGTCTTTTACTATCCATCGCTGCATCAGCTTAGCACCCTTATTATCAACCTATGTGGTGTCTATTAGCTGTTCCACCTGGGTACAGTCAGTTAGGCTGCTGCCAAGGCAGGTAGCTAGGATTCCACATAGCTTGCTCCTCCAGGTTTCCATGCTTTCAGAAGCCCCAAGCCACAGCAAGGTACCAAGAGCACTGCTTCTGCAGGACATAAGGACTCTAGGGGCGGCTCCAAGCTCTTATTTCATTTGGGCCACCCCACAGTGACCTAGGCCCCATCTGGGCTATGCATTTAAAGCGGTATCACAGCACTTTAAACCGTACTTTATCAACGATGCTGAAAGTTGTCAGCAGGCCCCTATTCCCCTCACAGAACTACACACAATTCAGAGTGTTCCCTGGGGAAGGGGGTTGACTGTTCAACCCCTCTGGGAACTGTAGCTCTGTGAGGGGAATTAGAATCTCTTTTGACAACTCTCAGCACCTTAAAAAAACCACATTTCCCAGGATTCCTTGGGGAAAGACGTGGTTGTTTAAAATGGCACCGTAGCGTTAATTTACAGTGTGAATGTGGCCACGTTTATTGCACCACAAAGCCACCCTGCCAACGGAAACAGTTCCGTTTCCTCCCTTCCCAGCTCTCCTTCCACATAGGAAGCTGCCTCCCTCATACTGAATCAGACCACCAGCTCAGAATTGCCTACACTGACTGGCAGCACCTCTCCAGGCAGGGAAAACGCCCAGCCACAACTGAAGGTGCCGGGAGATTGAACCCAGGAACTTCTGCGCTGTCAGAGAGTCCCACCCCTTCCTGACAGGCCCATGCCCTGTGGGCTCACATTGCACATTGAGGGTGACCGTGGTCTGCTTGCCGGCTGGGGCTGCTGGGTTGCTGACTCGGCAGGTGAACGAGCTGCCCATGTCCCTGCTGCTGGGGGTCAAGAGGAGGGTGCTGACAGCCACTTCTCGCTTGCCGTCGTCCATGAGGGCCTGCAGGAGAGGAAGGAGAAGGGTTTCCATGTTGAATATTTCCTTGGATAGCCGCTCTCTGGAGACAGGGCCTCTACACTCTCTCTCTCTCTCTCTCTCTCTCTCTTCTTTTTCCCCCAGCCTGCATCTAGTATTCATTTACTGGATTTGTATACTGCCTGTCCGCCAAGGCGCCCAAGGAGATTTACCATTTTAAAACCCTAAAATGAATCCATTATATATCAAATGTAGAGCAACAGAGTCCTCTCTGGCCAATGGGGAGCTGGTGGCATGTGTGCTTTGTGGCCTAGGCTCCCTTGCTTCTTCCTTCCCTCAGGGAAGGCAGGTCTAACATTACTATTTGTGAAGGTGTGAATACAACAACCAGTGGTTGAAAGCTTGTATATCATCAGGTACATTTCATAGAATGCCGGGATTGGTCGTGTCTTCTTGTTCAAATGTACACTGAGTGTTGGAGCCAAGCTTGCTGCTGTACAATGCGTCTCGCCTATATTGAAATAACTTTGCTGGGCTTTGGTCTGTTCCTGAGCACGATTCAAAGTGGTGGTGGCTTAACTGAGGAAGCTGGACTGAGGAATCTGTGGCCCTCCAGTGGCCACTGGACCACAACTCCTACCAGCCTCAGCCGGCATGACCAATGCTAAGGAATGCTGGGAGCTGTAGTCCAACCCTGCTTGTAGAGCAGTAGACTCTTAATCTCGGGGCTGTGGCTTTGAGCCCCACGTTGGGTGAAAGATTCTTGCATTGCAGGGGGTTGGACGAGATGACCCTTGTGGTCCCACCCAATTCTACAATTCTATGATTCACTGAACATCTGGAGGGCCACAGGCTCCCCATGCCTGGTATGCTGAGATAGTCCCCTAATTGATATGGTCACAAAGTCCTGAGCCAGCCCAGATAAGGCAGGTTTGGTGTGGCAGTTGAAGTCCCCAAGCACAATCGACTGTGGGTTCACCAGCACCCCTCATGCAGGGGGCTACTGAGCAGTAACAGGGACGCAGGTGGAGCTGTGGTCTAAACCACTGAGCCTCTTGGGCTCTTGGAAGGCTGGCTGTTCGAATACCCATGACGGGGTGAGCTCCCATTGCTCTGTCCCAGCTCCTGCCAACCTAGCAGTTCGAAAGCACGCCAGTGCAAGTAGATAAATAGGTACCGCTGCAGCAGAAAGGTAAACAGTGTTTTAATGCGCTCTGGCACTCGTCACAGTGTCCCATTGGGCCAGAAGCCATTTAGTCATACTGGCCACATGACCTAGAAAGCTGTCTGTAGACAAATGTCGGCTCCCTCAGCCTGAAAGCGAGATGAGCACCATACCCCATAGTCGCCTTTGACTGAACGTAACCATCCAGGGGTCCTTTACCTTTTACCTTTTTATTGGGCAGTGGGGGCTATTGTTTAATCTCCAGGACCCTAATCCTAACCCTAACTCTCAGAACAACACTTAAAACCTGACATTAGTTTCTCGGTGAAAAATAAAGGAGAAATAACGGAGAAGGATGGAGTTACAATGAATGACAGTGACAACTTGTGTTTTTGCACCACCAAGAGCTTAGGAGAGATTTGGCCTTCCCAGTTTGTCCACTGAGGTTTCGGTAATACGCGCCAGGTCAGTCCTGTCACCCGCAATTAAATTGTGGAGGAGCCTGCTTTTATTATGGACCGACTTGTCGTTGAAAGGATAAGTCAGCCCGACAACCCAGATTGTGTTGGATGAAGGGAGGGTGCTGGACATTACGCCAGGCTTACCCAGATAGATCTCAGACTTGCTGTCCTACTTTTGTTCCCCCTCCTCTGCTTGTCTAGTTCTTTCCAACGCTCAGCAAAGTCTCACCTTGGAGTACACGGCAGACTCCTGGCGTTGCCCATCTCGGTACCAGCTGATTTCGGCAGCTGGCTTGGCCCCGGCAGCACGGCACGACAAGTTGTAGGGGATGTTGGATATCACATGCACGATGGGACCGTTCTGGATCTCGGGGTCATTGGGAGGGACTTGGAAGAAGACATGGAGAAGATAGGTTAGCTGTGTTATCTGGTAAGGGGGCACTCCCAGGTGCAAGAGGTTTGGGTCACACAGGCTTCTCCAGAAAAACACACACAAAAACACTCTGGGCAGGGCAGAAGCAGCAGGAGAGAGTTTCCATCGGAGCCAGATTTTGTGAAGAGGGAGAAGTGAAGCACTTAATCGTTTACTGCAAAACAGCCAGCAGCTTCCTGCCAGCAGATTTTCTGGCTGGCCCCCATTCTTCAGGGGATACGCAGCAAAACCAGCTTATCATGTATGTGGGTCCTTTCTCCAGAAAACCATTAGCTGTGGTCTACAGAGGGAGCAGCACTGCCAGGTGTGAGCAAAGCCAGATAGGATTGCAGCAAAGTCTTGGCTGCAGTAGCTGGTCCTTGGGTGCATCTTTAATATAGGGCTGGGGTGGGCTGCTGAACGCAGCTGGTGGGCTGGATCCTTACCTGCCCACACCTGCGACAAGCCAACTTTGACAGGTGGAAAGTCTTTCCCATCACTTGCTCGCCAGAGCCTTTAAATGTGAGATGGTGGGAATAGAACCAGGAACTATGCATGCGAAGCATGAGCTTGTTCGCAAAGCTGGCATTAAAATGGCACTGAGATCTAGGCCTCTGACAGCAGCGAAGGGGTGTAGCTCAGTGGTAGGACACTTGCTTTGAATGCAGAAGGTCCCAGGTTCAATCCCCAGGTGGGCACATTGGTGGTAATGGGGCAGATGCGCGCCAACTCTTCACCACACATAGGAGAGTGAGCCAGAGTAAAAGTATATTTCTGATTCAGCCAAGACACAGGAAGGTGTGCTACAAAAGCAGTGAGTCAGGAATTCCTAACTAGTGGAGAGACGTCTTGAGTACCCCATAGGGATGGGGAAGAAATTCAATTCATCTCACATTTAAAGGCAAAGCTACCTAATTTGCCGTTTCCAAACGAGCCAATGAACTGAGGCACAGCTGACCTTTAAAATTCGCACAGCTCTGATTTTTGCAATGCAGTCAAGCCATGTGTACAAAAATGCCTAGATTAGGGTAAAGCATGTCTATGAATGGATATGAAAGTATTGTACAAAAATGCATTATATTAGGGGATCTTGCTTGCAGAAATGCGTATATTTGTCAAAACAGCAGCTGTTAGGAGAAAGCCACACTGAAATTGGTGAATTTTCAAGAGGGCAGGGATTTTTGTTTTTGGCAAAAAATAATAATCTCAAATTGCTGCAGAAATGTGGGGAGCTAAATTCCAGACTGGGAAAAATGAGAGAAACTGAAAATGACCCATTTGTTCAGCCCTACTTCCCAGCAACTAAAAGAGTACAGGATTCGGCCTGGGCAGTGGCGCAGCTAGCCACTTGGACACCTGGGGTGGCATGAGCGCCCTGCCCGTGAATGCCACACAAAGGGGGCGGGGCGAGGTGCCTGCAGGGTGAGGCAGGGCATGCCAGTATCCCAGTGCCCTAGCCATGTTCCACTCTGGTACCCTGCAGGCCTGTGTTGATTTTTTGGGCAGAGCAGAGCCTGCTGGTGCCCGAGCCACTGCATCACTCCCAGGAGAGACACATGGCTCGGGTGTGCTGTGCCCTGTGGCAAGTGCCACCTCCATGATGTGGCACCCAGTGCCCCACGCCCCCCAGCTACGTCCCTGGGCCTGGACTGGAAAGGCCCCTGTGGCTGTGTGCTGATGGGCTGTCACAACAACATATCCTCCAGCTCCATTTATGCTGCCAAGACACATTGATAGATTAGCAGAAAAGCCAGGAAGGCTTTGCCAGTATGAGCTCCAAGAAGCCAGAACTGGATGCAGGAATTTTCAACTCTTGTTATATATTAACCAGGATTGTCTTCTCCCTGGTCCTGAATGGGGTAACTGTGCCCCTGAAGGACCAGGTGCGCAGCTGGGAGTCATTTTGGACTCACATCTGTCCATGGAGGCGCAGGTCAGTTCTGTGTCCAGGGCAGCTGTTTACCAGCTCCATCTGGTACATAGGATGAGACCCTACGTGCCCGTGGACTGTCTCACCAGAGTGGTGCATGCTCTAGTTATCTCCCGCTTGGACTACTGCAATGCGCTCTACGTGGGGCTACCTTTGAAGGGAATCCAGAAACTACAACTAATCCAGAATGCGGCAGCTAGACTGGTGACTGGGAGTGGCTGCCGAGACCTCATAACACTGGTCCTGAAAGACCTACATTGGCTCTCAGTATGTTTCTGAGCACAATTCAAAATGTTGGTACTGACCGTTAAAGCCCTAAACGGCCTTGGCCCAGGATACCTGAAGGAGCGTCTCCACCCCCATCGTTCAGCCCAGACACCGAGGTCCAGCTCCGAAGGCCTTCTGGCGGTTCCCTCACTGCAAGGTTACAGGGAGCCAGGCAGAGGACCTTCTCAGTAGTGGCGCCCACACTGTAGAACGCCCTCCCACCAGATGCCAAGGAAATAAACAACTACAGTGGTACCTCTGGATGTGAACGGGATCCATTCCAGAGCCCCGTTTGCATTCTGAGTAAAACGTAAGATGCGACTGCGCGTGTTGCGTTTTGCCACTTCCGCGCATGCGCGTGACGTCATTTTGAGCATCTGCACATGCGTGAGCGACGAAACCCAGAAATGACACGCTCCATTACTTCTGAGTTGCCGTGTAGCATAACTTGAAAACGCTCCACCTGAAGCACATTTAACCCGAGGTATGACTGTAGCTGACTGTTAGAGGACATCTGAAGGCAGCCCTGCTTAGGGAAGTTTTTAATGTTTGATGTATCGTGTTTTTAATATTTTTTTGGAAGCCACCCAGAGTGGCTGGGGAAACCCAGCCAGATGGGTGGGGTATAAATAATAAATTATTATCATTATCATTACTGAGGGGAGAAAGAACGGTTTTGAAAAACTGGATTTTAAGCACTCTCGAGCCTGAGCAACTCTGGTCAAGGATGGGACCGCCTTGAAAAGCAGGTGAAGTGGGAGAATCATGTCAGTGGTCCGAGGAATTAAGGGGGGGGGAGAGAACTCACTGAGTACGGTCAGCTTGGCCCTCTGCGATCGCAGGGCGGCCTGAGTGGCCTGGCATTCATAGATGGCATCATCATCCAGTTCGGCGTAGTCAATCTTCAGGTTATGCTGCCCAGCAGATGCATCTCCAACAATGGAGTAGCGTGACCAGCCTGCAGCGAGGAGAAAAGCAGGTTGTCACGTAAGGTGAGTTTGCAGAACCCAGGATGCAAAGAGGCACCCGCAGCGCCCCCTGGAGTCGTACAGGTTTACTACAGCGACTGATCGCTACTGTACCCGCTTCCCTCCCAGTACCACGGCGAGCGTACCTGGCAGGTCTCTTTCTCCCCCCAAGGCCAGCCCGTCCTTGGTCCACTGCACCATGCCTCGGTAGCCCATCACCACGCAAGCCAGCGTCACGGACTGTCCAGACACAATCACCTGGTCCATGGGCTGTTGGAAGAAATAGGCGGCCAACCCTGAGGAAGAAAGAACAACAGTACCAAGGTGGTTAAGGTCAAGCAATTAGGGAGAGATTCAGAGTTCAGTTTGCGTTCAGAGATGAACCTCCCACGCTTGTGCTTTCTGAAACAACACGTGCGCCAAAACACAGCCTTCCGTCGAGACCTGAGCTCCTCCGAATCTTGCGGCGCGGTTCTACCAGCCCAGAAACGTCTGCGAAAACACATGTAGGAGGGTAACGTGTGCTTACAAGGGCACAGAGGAGTGAAAACAGAGTGGGGAAATGTGTCTGGGTTGGGGAGATTGCTTTGCAAACGTGTGTACGTCAGGCAAAATTGTACATGAAATTGTGCATTTTAGGTGAAATTCACCCCCAACCCCCCCCCCCCCACACACAGAGAGAGAGAGAGAGAGAGAGAGTGATGTGGAAAGGCAGAGAATGGAAGAAGGGGAAATGGAGAGAAGCTGAAATCGACAGAATTGCACATCCCTACTAGTGATGTGGCAGATCTGTGCCTGTTTACCCTCCTCCCTAGGGAAAAACCTGTACCCCAGCTGAGGTGAGTGCATGTCCCAATAACATTCCTCCTCCTGTTGGTAAATTCTTCTGTCTCTTTCCTTTTGTGGGAGAAGCAGCAAAAGCCACAAACGCACTGAGGAGACCTGGGAGGAGTGAGAGGGGGGTTTGCGAAGCAGGAGAGCAGGGAGGGAAAGCTGATAGAGGAGAGTTTCAATTTTTTGAGGCGCCGCAGGAGCCCCCGGGTCCCTGGCACTGCCTTATCTCCGCGCCACAGACTGCTGAGGTGCTGGTTTGGTGTGCTCTGCACATGCCCTTCAGCCAAGGAAGCCTCTGTTTCCACTTTGTGTTCCCACCGTCAAACAGCTTTCTTTTGCTCTCCCTTCCCCTGGCTCTAGGCAAATGCATTAAAAGAAACTTTAGAGGTGGCGTGTGTGTGTGTGTGTGTGCGGACACACACACGTGCGCAAGCAAGTAAATCACTGCACCCTCTGGGGTGCTATATTTGTTTTGGGTGGAGGAAGGATCTGGGGGTCAATAAGAATGCAGGAAACGCCCAGATTATGCGGGAATAAATCAGTATATCCCATTATACTGTCAATCCCAATAAAACAATGTAGGTTTTTCTTTATTGCCTGCTTTGCAGTTGTTTTTCATTTATCATGAATGTATTAGGAGGATATTTTGTTTAGCTGTTGCTTGAAAATGTGGAATTTCCGTTGTATTGCTTGTAGTTCTTCATGTGCAATGCTTTATTCTGACATCCTGTTCAGCAGTTAACTATAATGTTCTGTAATGTAGGGTTTTTAAAGGGTGGGGTCTCCCCCCACTGAATCTTTATTTATTGTGTTATGAGGCTGTGTAGACACTATACCTTTAAGGCACATTTGGAACACGTTGTTTCCCTCAAAGAATTCTGGGCACTGTCGTTTACCCTTCACAGAGCAACAATTTCCAGAAACCGTTAACAAACTACAGTGCCCAGAATTCTTTGACGGAAAGAATGGTGCTTTAAAGGCATAGCGCATACACATTGTCAGATGTGTGCTTGTGGTTCTGTCCAACCTTAATCATACTTTAGAGTAAACCCACTGAATGTAATGGACATCACTAACTTAGATCCATTCATTTTAATGGGTTGACTTGAGTAAAACATGGATACAATCCCAATGGTGAAGCTACTTACTCCAGCACCGGAAGTGGCGTACATCCAGGGGCGTGGCTGGCACGCATCCCAGGGGGGCGTGGCCACGATGTCACCCCCCGGATGGCATCTGGGGCGGACCGCCCCCGCCCCCACCTTTTCCGCCAGTGTACAATCCTTACTCTTCCAACCAGTACATAAACTGTTTAAACAAAGAAACAAAACAGTCCCCTTTCATTTATTTTGCTATTTTGTTTATTTGAGAAATGCTTCAATAAAATTCCCAGAGCAGCTTTGCATGGGACCAAGGACTGTTTTTCCACATGTGCATGTCCTTTAAAATCCTGAACATGTTCATGCAGTCAGAGTGTCATGTCTTATCAGGGGCTATTACGCAAATGGATTTCAAGGATTGTACATGTGCCTAGGCAGCCGTGGATGATCTCCACTCCCTGCCTTCGCGCAGACAGTGGAACAGATCCATGCTGCTGCCCCAGAGACCACGGGCTCCTCCAGGGGACCTGAAGACTCAGCTTTCACCCTCATTTGCTTGCACAAAGCTTATGCAAAGGGTAGGCGGTGCATAGTCTTTTTATCACGCATTCGTTCCAATCCATTGGCAGGGAAGTTGTACGACAATGAGCTTTCATCCTGATTTGCTGGTACGGTGTTCATCATATGCACATTTCACCCTCCCCAGTGCATTTCCACAACACTTTCCTAACTGCAAAAAGTTTTTTTAAAAATAAAAGTGGATTTGTTGCAGTAGGGCAACAGAGCACTTTAATCCGGGAAACCAAGATTTCCAGAATGCGCTTCAATCTCCTCTGCAAAATTCTAGCATTCTGGAGGTGACCCATGTGTCTGTGATGTGAAAATTGGATCTCTTGCAGAGCTTTGTTCTGTGTTAATTAGCAACCAGCTATATAGAGAAATGGAATTGTAGAGTTGGAAGGGACCACGAGCATCATCTATTCCAACCCCCTCCAATGCAGGATACTTTTGCCCAGCCTGGGGCTTGAACTCACAATCCTGAGATTAAGAGTCTCATGCTTTACTGACTGAGCTATCCCATTAGTCTATCTAGCTCAGCATTGTCTACACTGACTGATGTAGCTCTCCAAGGTTTCAGGCAAGGCATATTCGCAGCCCAACCTGGAGATGCCAGGGACTGAGACCCGTTTCCTATCGTGGTTTGAAATGTGTGTGTGTGTGTGTGTGTGTGTGTGTGTGTGTGTGTATAGTGCACCCAATGTAAGGGTTTATTTATCTCTCTTCAGTTTGGACTACACTTTCAATTTTGATCTTGGTGGGTAGATGACTTCTTTCTTCTTTGGTTGGATCCAGACTATGTTGGGTGAACTTGTTTCCCTTTGGAATCAATGAGGTGACTTAAGCCAGGGTTATCCACCTTGGGGCGGCTGTTGGCAGGATTCCTTCATTACAGGGGATTGGACAGAATGAGCCTTGTGGTCCGCTCCAACTCCACAAGCCTATGATTCCTCCTCCTTAGAATGGCCCAAGTGGAACTCAGCAGGGAGGAGAACAAACCTAGAATTAGTTGCTCTAGCTCCCCCTACTGATGACCTCCCTGCCTTGCGCACTTCCAGTCCCTTTTGCGTACCAGCCACCCCTGCTTCGCCAGAAGGTCCCAGGGAGGATCACAGCATATAAAAACGCAGTTAAAACAGTAAAAGCAACACCAACCTGTCCATAACCCCAAAATCAATAATCCACGCAACAAATCGCCAGGCAGATGCCAAAATCAATTCTCCGGTTTTCAACGGCCAGGGTAAAGAGGTGTGAATGGTATCATCTCTTGCTGGAACCACCGCTGGGCAGTTTGTGGATGACAGGAGAGCAGCGGGCAGGAAGATGCTTGTGGATATTTCAAGGTATGTCACACTGCCTCCCTTAAGTTACCTTCAGCTGTGGTGGAGGATAGGTAAAGGTAAAGGGACCCCTGACCATTAGGTCCAGTTGTGGCCGACTCTGGGGTTGCGGCACTCATCTCGCTTTATTGGCCGAGGGAGCCGGCGTACAGCTTCTGGGTCATGTGGCCAGCAGGACTAAGCCGCTTCTGGCGAACCAGAGCAGCGCACGGAAACACCATTTACCTTCCTGCCGGAGTGGTACCTATTTATCTACTTGCACTTTGACGTGCTTTCGAACTGCTAGGTTGGCAGGAGCAGGGACCGAGCAACGGGAGCTCACCCCGTCGCAGGGATTCGAACCACCGACCTTCTGATCGGCAAGTCCTAGGCTCTGTGGTTTAACCCACAGCTTTTAGATAGAGCCAATGTGGGATAGTAGTGAAAGTGCTGGGCTAGGACCTGGGTGAGAACAGGGTTCAAATCCCCACTCGGCCATAAAGCTCACTTGGTCCGCTCTAAGGCTGCGTACACCTGAGACCTTTACTGTCAAAGCACTTCCTTTCTCTTAAATAAATCTGGGCATTGTCGTATGCCCCTCACAGAGTTATGGTTCCCAGCAACAAACTGCAGTGCCCAGAATTCTTTGAGAGAAATAATGGGCTTCAAATGGGCAGTGTGTACACAAGCGCAAGTTTCCCTGCTTATCCTACCTCACAAGGTAGTCCTGAAGGTAACAACGGAGAGCAGAAGAACCAGGCCTGCTGCCTTGAACTCCTTTAGAGGAAAGGCAGGATGGAAACGTTGCAACAAGTAAATAATAAAATGGGATTATACAGTGGTACCTCAGGTTACATATGCTTCAGGTTACATACGCTTCAGGTTACAGACTCCGCTAACCCAGAAATATTACCTCGGGTTAAGAATTTTGCTTCAGGATGAGAACAGAAATTGTGCTGCGGCGGCACTGGAGGCCCCATTAGCTAAAGTGGTGCTTCAGGTTATGAATAGTTTCAGGTTAAGAATGGACCTCTGGAACGAATTAAGTACTTAACCCGAGGTACCACTGTATTTAACCCAAGGTACCACTGTACAAATGCACAGAGGACAAAGATCTCAATGCTTTACCTCCAGAGCTATTGCCCTTGTGTTCTGATTGCAGCCTTCCCATAGGCATATGAAGACAGCGAGAAAAAGAGGCAAGACTAGATGATGGTTTGATCCTTTGGGCCGATGCAGCAGGGCCTCTGCTTATTGTTCCTATGTTATCCCACTTATGTATTGGGGGAGTATCCTTTTTCACAACTCTCTGTGTGTAAAGATCCCCAAAGGGGATTTGCTAGGTTTGCTTGCTGAGGATGTCATGCTCCGTTGAATAGCTCGTGGTTTCCTGCTCAATTGACCATTAAAGAAACAAGAGATGCTTAAATAGATATTTTAGAGAAGTTTCCCCAGAGACTGCTGATCCATATAAAGCTCGCTTTCTTACTGCAGAGTGAACTTGTGCAACCCTGAGACCAGGCCTATCCAGGAGTCGGGAGGACTGATCATTCATTAGTCAGGGGACTAATGAGAAAAACCTAACACTTGCTTGTCTGTAGAAAATGCTCTTCAAGCTGGTGTTCTTTCGATGGACATTGCTGTCCTCAAACTAAGAGAGAGAGGAGCTTGCTCAGGGGACAAATTGTGGTACCTTGGAACAGCCTGCTTCAGGAGGTAGTGGAGGAGAGGTTTTTAAGCAGCTGCTGAGAGATGTCAGGGATGCTGTGGCAGCGGACTTCCTGCATCAAGTGTGGGCAATTACTGAGCAAGGTGAGCCCATGGCCTGACTCTGCATAGGGCAGCTTCTTATCTTCCAATGGCTGCAACATCCTGGCGTGGTTCAGACACTATAAAACAGATCCTTACTACAGTGGTACCTCTGGTTAAGAACTTAATTCGTTCCGGAGGTCCGTTCTTAACCTGAAACTGTTCTTAACCTGAGGTACCACTTTAGCTAATGGGGCCTCCTGCTGCCGCCGCGCCACAGCCGCATGATTTCTGTTCTCAAACTGAAGCAAAGTGCTTAACCCGAGGTACTACTTCTGGGTTATCGGAGTCTGTAACCTAAAGCCTCTGTAACGTGAAGCGTCTGTAACCCGAGATACCACTGTATTGCTAGAGATAACATTCAACACATTCACCCATTTGTAAGAATGTAAGAATTACACGTATATAATAATAATAATAATTTATTATTTGTACCCCGCCCATCTGGCTGGGTTTCCCCAGCCACTCTGGGCGGCTATACTCTGGGCGGCGGTATACTGCAGTTTCACTTAAAAAGCACACAAAGCAGATACGCGCACACACACATATGGTGATAAACTTCAGAAAAACGTACAGTGGTGCCTCGCAAGACGAAATTAATTCGTTCCGCGAGTTTTGTCGTCTTGCAATTTTTTTCGTCTTGAGAAGCACGGTGTCGGGAAAGTTTTGGAAAAGCTTCAAAAATCACCAAAGTCTTTAAAAACCTCAAAAAAGGCTACCACACCGCGTTCTATGAGTTGTTCCGCGAAGCAAGCCCATAGGGAAAATCGTCTTGCGAAGCAGCTCAAAAAACAAAAAACCCTTTCGTCTAGCGAGTTTTTTGTCTTGCGAGGCATTCGTCTTGCGAGGTACCACTGTAAAATTATGTAATTAGCAGACCACCAGCTAACTATTGCAGATAATATTTTGTCTTTATTATCTGCATAAGCCTGGTAGCACAGAGACGTTTTCAGCAAACGTTTAAAGGTTAATCTGGAAGACGTCTCCTGAATCTCTATTGGAAGAAGCTTCCACAGGACTGGAGTCTGTGACTTGAAAGGCTCAGTTTTGTGCCAATGTCAAATGAGCCTCACTAACTCAGGGGAAAACCAGCCTTGCTTCCTTGGATGGTCTCAGTGATCAGGCTGGGATCTGAGGGATCTGAAAGGCCCTAAAGCTGCTCAGGGTAATAATTGAGCGATACACAGGGATGGGTGAATCAGCCTTAAAAAGTTGGGTTTTGAGGCTCTGCAGAAACAGCCTTTTCATTCTCCTTCCTTCTTACTGTGGCCAGAATATAGCATGGCAGAGTGGTGTGAGTGTCAGATTAGGACTGAGGGGAGACCCAGGTTCAAACCTGCAGGAACTTAGATAATCTTGGACTAAGCATTCTTGTTCCACATGATCTACCTGACAGGGCTGCTATGGGAATAAAATGGGTGTGTTGTGGGGGAACCCATAAGATGGGGAGGGGTGGAAAGGTGAGATATAAAAGTAAATAAATAGATTTAATGAAAATGTATTGTTGTGAGTTGGTGCCTGCTAGACACCCTAAATTCCTGGGTCTAATAATAATAATAATAATAATAATAATAATTTATTTATAACCCACCCATCTGGCTGGGTTTCCCCAGCCACTCTGGGTGGCTCCCAAAAGAACACCAACAACAACAATAATAAAAAAGCAACAACATCAAACATTAAAAACTTCCCTAATAGCCGTTAGAATTTAATCAATGCTTGGAGTGTTAAAACCAGGAAATAGCCAGACCCTGAGTATTAGACTCATGTGCACTAGACCAGACCCATATGGATAAAGCTGTGTGCTAGACGATGCTAGTCCCTTGGAATCAGCATGTGTCAAGGGCTAATTATGCCAGGCTGGCCTCCTGGGTGAGGTGATAGCCCGGGGATGGGCCATTAGGACAACACAAAGCTCCAAAGATGTAAGTTAGGAGGTTGGGGAGCAGTTATGCAACAGGGAAGCAGAATGGAGCCAGGGCATGACGGCTGATGTCCATCTGGATCCTAAGATGTGCCTACGGAGGAAACAATCCTCTTGGGAGTGTAATGCTGGGAACCTCTCCACCGTCAGCTCAGGTTGTATATATGTATAAATAAACCATATATCATGAAGACACTGCAGTCTCTGCCGTACCTCATTTTCCAAAAGGAAACATGGACCTTGGGTAAGTCTGCCTGGAACCTCTGGAATCTTGCAATGCTTGGAGTTCGGGGTGACCTGCAATAGTATTTCCCCTTCTATACATGAAGCAGAATCTCCCCACTGCTTCAAACATATGGTACAGATGCGCCTTTCTGCCCAGGTTCCCCCAAACCCATAAGATCGGACCCTGTTTAATGTGTTTCTGAATGCTTTTAAAGAAAGAAATAAAATAAATGTTGCTGGTTTGCGCACACACACTCCCTGCTGAAAAGCATATCTAGTTGTTTCAGCACCCAGCTTTTGTCCTCCCCCGCCCCCCCGCACCTTCCGCCCTTTCGGCCACTGGGAGACTGTTAAGATCTCCGAGGCTGAAAGAGCCTTTATTGGCACACAGATCCCTCCATCTTGAGACTCTTATCTCCTCACTAAAGCCTGCTTAACTGCAATCCAATAACGCCAGGCCTTTGTCCTATTGTTTAAAAGTTTACCCACTAAACGAGGGTCTGAATAGCACGATAATCCTCTCAAGAGGGTCAAGAGGGCTGAGACATGGAGATGGAGCCAGAGACAAAGGGCTGGGAGAGAGTCAGAAAGGCAGGCTGGTCCAACCACCCCAGGGGAATAGGGGATCTGATGCCGGCTGGAACAGGGCCACCAAGCCTGGTACCAACCTGAACTCCCCGTCTGAGCGCCGACTGCCCAACCATTTTCTAAAATTGTGTGTGTGTGTGTGTGTGTGTGTGTGTGTGTGTGTGTGTGTGTGTGTTTACAGCAAGGAAGAGAAGGACCCTCTGTACGGCTCTGTTTCATCGAACTCACCACCCAAGGGAGAACACTTTTTGATCTCCAACACCTCACTTACAAAACAGTTCTTAAAGCAATGAAACAGTGAAAGGACCAGACCTATTTTTACAGGGGGTGTTTGTGTGTATTACCTCCTGAGCCCTCCCCAGGCACAAATGGGGCACATTCTCTTCTTCCATAGCAACTCACTTCTCACACCTGCTCCTCTGGATTGGATGGGGCCACCAGGGAAATAATAAAAAGTGGGGGTAAATAATAAAAAAGTGAGAAGATGCCCCTGAGAGAGGTGGAGAACCTCAGGCTCAGGGGGGCTGAATGTGGCCCTCCAGGTCTCTCTGCCTGGCCCTCATAACTCTCCCCAGGCTGCACCCTTCATTGGCTGTGCTTTGCATGTTCCTTGAGTGTTTTTTCCTGGCTGAAAGGTGTCCCTGAATCCTGATAATGCTTCTTGCTTGTCTGGTTAGCAGAGGAAGAGAGGTACATATATGTGGGGGAATTAGCCACATGTTGAAAGGTAAAATTGGCATCTGTTGCTGCTCTCCCTTTTGCCTCTGGCCCTGCCCACCACTGGCATGTGGCCCTTGGAAGGTTGCTAAGAGGAGAATATGGCCCTTGATCTGGAAAAACTCCTGGAATGTCCCACTTTTCCCTAGGACACCTCTATTTTCAGTGTTATGGAGTTATGCGACCCCCAAGCAAGGAGATAACTATTAGAAGACATCAGAAGGCAGCCCTGTAGATGGAAGTTTTTTAATGTTTAATGTGTTATTATGTTTTTATATATGTTGGAAGCCACCCAGAGTGGCCAAGGCAACCCAGTCAAATGGGTGGGGTATTAATAAAATAATAAGAATGAGAATAATGGAATAGGATGTCCCTATTCTCATCGGAGAAATGTTGGAGGGTATGCGAGGGTTGTATCCAAAGCCAATCCTACTCTGAGCAGATCCCTTGAAATCAATGGACTTGACTAACAAAAGTCTGTTCATTTCAATGGGTGTACTCTGAGCGGAACTGGATACAAACCCCAAGGGTGCAAGCAGCTTGCCTTGCCTTCTCCCTCGGGTGCAGTTCAGATCCAGAGGGAGACATCTGAAGGCAGCCCTATTTAGGGAAGCTTTTAATGTTTGATGCATTACTGTATTTTGATATTTTGTTGGAAGCCGCCCAGAGTGGCTGGGGAAGCCCAGCCAGATGGGTGAGGTATAAACAAATTATTATTATTATTAGTGAGTGAGCGGGCAGTGGGGAGAGCAGAGAGGTGATGGGCACATTCAGGGACCCTGATGAGGTCATCCTGCCCAATGGGACCACCCAAATATCCGGAGCCGACACTGTTTAATAGCCTGGCAAATTCATTCATTCACCTCTCTCTCTCTCTCTCTCTCTCTCTCTCTCTCACACACACACACACACACATGCTTCCTGAACACACACACACAGCTGCAGGGGACACTCCTGCCACAATCCCACAGGGGGGACTCCATATGGGCTCCCATCTGGTGACATTCGAAAGCATTGCACCATTGCAAGGGAGCCTCATGTAGGGCAGTGTGACTCCATCTGAACGGCAGGGTGGATGAGCTCTCCTCCTGACCTTACCACCCTCCCGAAACCATCACTTCGCTTCGTGCCCTTTTGCTGGTTGGGGGGGGGGGCGGCCCCGCTGCACAACTCCAGTTCTGGCAAACGCCTTTCCTTTTGCCATGCTCCCCACGGCTGTTGGGGTGCTGGCAGACGCCGTTTGTAAATAGCAGGCAAAGGGGCTGGCGAGAGGGGAAGAGGCAGAAACTGGAGTGCAGTGTCAGGCAGAGAAGAACATTCATGGTTGGTGGAGAGATTCCCTTCCTTGAGCCACAATGAGCCACTAACTCTCCAGTGCCAAAGCGTGCCCAAGACTGGAGACTTCCAAGCAACCTTTAAAGGACGCGACACCATTTCTTTCTTTTGGGATAGTTGTGAGACCATGGGGCTAGCCGGCTGGGCCACAGCTCAGGGATAGAGCATCTGCTTTGCTGTAGTATTACCAGCCTGGATAGCTCAGCGGGTTAGAGGGTGCTGCTGATAATGCCAAGGTTGCAGGTTCGATCCCCAGAAGGGACAGCTGCATATTTCTGCATTGCAGGGGTTTGGACTAGATGACTCTCATGGTCCTCTCCAACTCTACAATTCCATGATTTTATGATTCTAGGTGTGCAGGAGGTTCCAGGTTCAATCCCCAGCATCTCCAGGTAGGGTTGGGGGACAGCCCGAAAGCCGTTGCCAGTCCGTGCAGACAATATTGAGCTAGATGGGCTGTTGGTCTCCTTTAGGCAGCTCCTCATGTTGCTAAGACTGAGTTCACAATTTTGCGTAGGTTTGGGATGGAGGGGGGTGGTGGTAAAGAGCTACAAAGCTATAGTCCTCTTTGGGCATCCCGTTAGTCACACAATTCCCATCACGTTGAAGTGGAGGCGGGGATGAGTGTGCCAGCCCTGCCCCCTTTGCCAATGTCCCTGCTACCCACAAGGAGTGGGAGCCTGGTCTACTCATAGCTCATCCCTGGCCCTCATCTACTCATAGGCCTTCACTGTCACCCACTGAGAGGGGGCGCCTGGTCTACTCATAGCCTGCTCATAGCCAATTTATTTATATATATATCACAATTCCCACAAAAAACATCTGTGCGCAAAGATGTTCAGGACCAAAACAAACAGTCTAAATACAGAAGCGCAATAACACCTAATAAAGAGTCTAATACCACCGCTACAACCTAACGCTAAAAATAAACAAATCCACAATTAACCAGCGTACATCAGAACCAAAGGGATTGCAAAGTTCACCAATATGTAAATTGAAAACATCCCATAACTTCACATCCAAAAACAGCCCATAGCAACCGCCCACTCCTAGGTTCCCTGCATGGAACAGGGTTAAGGGGACACGGTTTTACACTCATTACACATTTTAAACAGGGATTGTTTATTCAAGGAACCATGATATCTAGAAACTTTTAAGATGTAAACACTATGGTTTGTCTGATCTGTGCTCTGTTTTAAACCAGGAGTGCACCGTGTGACTTTGTGAGACACATGCTTATTTATGTATTTCACAAAAAGGTATACCCCACTTGATTGTGAGAAACCTCAGGGTGGTTTACAAAGAGATAAAACAGTAAATTCGAGAGAAATGCACAACCATACATTAAAACGTACGAAAGTTAAAATACTAAAACAGATTCAAATCACTTCAACTTTCTAAGCACCTGGGTAGGCTTGCCCAAACAAGAATGTTTTCAGCGGGGGATGGAAAGAGTACAATGACGGCGCTTGCTTGATTTCAAGTGGCAGGGAGTTCCAAAGTTCAGCTGCTGCCACACTAAACGATTGAATTCTCATAAATGGGTATTGAGTCGCACCTGTAATAGTACCAATTCAACCGATTGAAGCAGTCGAGTGGGCACATGTGGGGTAAGGTGATTTCGTAGGTAAACTGGTCCCATGTTTTTAAGGTCTGCATATGCTAACATTACCACCTTGCAACATCAGCAATCAGTGCAGCTCTCTGAGCCCACGTCTTATATGCTGACAAGGCCTCACTCCTGTCAGCAATTGTGCTGCAGCATTCTGCACTAGCTGCAGTTTCCGGATTGTACTTCGTAACTGCACTTTCTAAGTAGAATTGTGTTTCCTGCGTCCCTGAGGTTGGGGGTGCCTGGGTTCTGTTATCAGCTCTGGAAAGGGAAAGACCAAGGCTTTACCTTTAGAAGTTGTCAACACCGCAGGAATAGACTGCGAGGAGAGACAGAAACGGCTGTCATCTGGCTAGGAGACGTCCCTTTGTTATGAGAGCCGTCTCCATACACAAAAAGATACCACTGCAGCCAAGATTAGAAATGGGTGAACTCTCCAAGAACCTGCCTTACATTCACCTGGAAACTATCCAAAAAATTTTTTTTCTGGGGGAGGTGGCAATCAGAAACACTCAGGTAATTTCCCCAAGCAAATCTGAGAGTTCAGAAAAAATACCCTCCCTCAAAAGCCAGCTGGCCAGCCCCTCACCAACACCCAAAACACACCTCCCTTCTTTTACCCCCTGCACACATTCACTGCTGCTGCCACAGCTTCAGGGAATGGGAAGGGAATGTATTTTAGAGTGGGTGGAAGCGGGTGGCACTGTGGGTTAAACCACAGAGCCTAGGACTTGCCGATCAGAAGGTCGGCAGTTCGAATCCCCGTGACGGGGTGAGCTCCCGTTGCTCAGTCCCTGCTCCTGCCAACCTAGCAGTTCGAAAACATGTCAAAGTGCAAGTAGATAAACAGGTACCGCTCCGGTGGGAAGGTAAACGGCGTTTCCGTGCGCTGCTCTGGTTCGCCAGAAGCGGCTTAGTCCTGCTGGCCACATGACCCGGAAGCTGTACGTCGGCTCCCTTGGCCAATAAAGTGAGATGAGTGCTGCAACCCCAGAGACGGTCACGACTGGACCTAATGGCCAGGGGTACCCTTTACCTATAGGTAGCTTTGGGGGAAGGAAAGTTTAGCAGGGATGGGCCAGGGGAAGCCATGAATTCTTCTTTGATTTAGATTTTAATCTGAGCCCAAGAAGAACAGAGAGGGGGACTTTACAAGCTCAGCTCTCATTTAAGGTAGGTTTTTACAAGTCCTTGGAGTTGCTTCTTGAACTTGAGAACTTTGTCAACATCTCTAGCTAACATTTCTTCTTATGCCCCCCCTCTTTGCCAGTCCTGAAACAGCTTACATCATGGATGGGGAACCTCTGGCTCTCCTGATGTTGCTGGGCCAACTCCCATGACCCGCAGCCAGGCTAGCCAATGATCAGGGATGATGGGAGTTGTAGTTCAACAACATTTAAGAGTGGCAGGTTCTTCACCCGATATCACAATTCTGCTGCCCTCGGGTCAGAGAGAGCAGCATAGCACCCACAAACAAGTACACTTCATCTGGCAAAAACACCTAGGGACGCTTTTTCAGGATCCCCTAGACCAGATATGGGGTTGTAGGCAACCAAGTCTTACTCAGAGTAGACCCATTGAAAATCATGACTCTATCTTAAGTCTTGTTCATTAATTCAAATCAGTCTACTCTGAGCAGAACTAGCATTCAACACAACCCTTTGTCAGAACTGTTGTACTTGAAATGCAAGTGATGAGATAGAGAGGGAATGAGAATAGAGGGCTGCCAACTTTTTGTACTGGATGTGCCATAGAGTCATCAGCTCTAAAGGAATTTCATAGACTGGAGATAAAGCTCAATCACTGGCTTAATTGCTGCCAATCAAATGGCTGTTAAAAGACACAGAGGTGGGTCAAAAGCTGACAAGCCTACTCACGGGCAGGAGGAACTGTAGCTCTGGGAGGGGAATTGGGAGGTGGTCTCCTAACCACACTCAGCACCTGTTAACAAACTACACTTCCCAGAATTCTTTGGGGGAAGCTGTGACTGTTTAAAGTGCTACGATACTACTTTAAATGTAGGGTGTGAATGCAGCACTGTTGAGTGGAGACTATTCATGGTCCCATGAGGAGGCGGCATAATACAGTGGTACCTCTGGTTACATACACTTCAGGGTACAGACTCCGCTAACCCAGAAATAGTATCTCGGGTTAAGAACTTTGCTTCAGGATGAGAACAGAAATTGTGCTACGGCGGCAGCAGGAGGCCCCATTAGCTAAAGTGGTGCTTCAGGTTAAGAACAGTTTCAGGTTAAGAACGGACCTCCGGAACGAATTAAGTTCTTAACCTGAGGTACCACTGTAGTACTTTATGTGACTCTCAGGCTCTGAAAAAGTTGCCCTGCCTTTGGGCTACAGGGACTGGCAGAAGTTCTCCATAGTCCCCCCCCCAAAAAAAACCTCTGCCTAAAGATGCAGGGGATTGAATCTGGGACCTTCTGCAAGCAAGGCATGTGTCCTGCCCCGGATCCACGGCTCTTCGTATGGTTGCAATCGCCGGGGCCTGCCGGGAGGTGCGACTCCCGTGTTCCACTTAGAAAACACTGCCACGTATATTCCACCTCCCCTCTCCCCACTTGTTGGCTCCGTTCGTCCTCCTCCCACCGCACCCTCCCCGCCTCGGGCCCAGGGCCGCCTCTGCGTTGTATTTCCACGCTTCACGGCAAATCCTTTTTGAAGCTACACAGAGGCAGAGGCGAACCGCTGCATTCCTGCCTGCTAATAGGCGTGAAATCGGCGGTCCATTGTGCCAGAGCTGCAGGGGGAAGGGAGATGAAAGCCGCCCAGATAGCACAAATAGCTCTTGCCAGGCTCCTTGTCCACCCCCACGGAAATAGGGCAGGATCAACAGGGAGGTGTGCGGCTCCTCCTCCCCAGCAAAAAAGTTTGCCCAGAAGAACAGAAGCCGGAAAACCACCGGGTCCAGGAACAAATTCACCTCCGGGAGCCAATTAGAGTAAGCAGGAGACCGTGGCAGCGCCAACCTGGGTACAGATCTGGGTGAACCTCGTGTGGAAGGCCCAGCTGCACCCCACAACAGACTTCCTGGCCCCTCGGCTCTAAAGCTAGCAGTGAATCCACCTTCTCCCCCCAACCGCAGAGTGCAGAACACAGAACAGAGGGCGTCCCCTCCCACAAAAGCAAAAAAAATTGGCTGGCGATGGGCTTTGGGTTTGGGATGTTTTTGTGATGCTCTACTAGCCGATAGCAACTGGCAGAGCAGACTATACATTAAGAGGCATTGCTGTGGCAGAGATTTGGAAAAGGTGTTTGAGACTGAGCGGCAGTGAAAAATAAAATGGAAAGTTGCTTCATCTGTTGGTTAAAAGAACCCCAGTGGTTTTAATTGGGCGGCATAAAAACTTAAGGATGAGAGAAGCAGTGGGGAGCAGACAATAGGTGTCAATGACCAGACCCTACGAGTGTCCCTATTTTCCAGGGACAGTTCTAAATTTACAGAAGCCTTCCCAGTTTCTGATTTATCCCAGAATGTCCCGCTTTCCCTTAGGGTGTCCCCATTTTCAGTGGAGAAATGTTGGAGGGTACGGAGTTACGCGACCCCCAAGCCAAGGAGATAAGTAACTACACAACCTTTAGAACACATCTGAAGGCAGCCCTGTATAGGGAAGTTTTTTAATGCTTCATGTTTTATTATGGTTTTATATATGTTGGAAGCCACCCAGCGTGGCTGGGGCAACCCAGTCAGATGGGTGGGCTATAAATAATAAAATTATTCTTACTATCATCATGGAATAGGATGTCTCTATTTTCATCAGAGAAAGGTTGGAGGGTATACAGTGGTACCTCGGGTTAAGAACTTAATTTGTTCTGGAGGTCTGTTCTTAACCTGAAACTGTTCTTAACCTGAGGTACCACTTTAGCTAATGGGGCCTGCCGCTGCCGGAGCACGATTTCTGTTCTCATCCTGAAGCAAAGTTCTTAACCTGAGGTACTATTTCTGGGTTAGCGGAGTCTGTAACCTGAAGCGTCTGTGACCCGAGGTACCACTGTATATAACTTTTCCAGAGCCATTCCACAAGGATCCAGTAGGAATTGGGGTTGTTGTCGGAGAGAATTTGCTAGCAAATGGGGTAACAGGTGGAGTCGTCCTCCCAGGACCACTTCCGAAAGTCATCCAGCCAAATGGCCGTCCAAATGCGCTAACTGGGGTTGATAGAAATACAGGAAGTGACCTTATTCTGACCAGTGGTCCACCTGGCTGGCTGGTAGCGGCTCTCCAGGGTTTTCCCCAGCCCTACCTGGCAATGGAGAGATTGAAGGTGGGGGCCTTTGGGGCGCAAAACAGGTGCTCAGCCCCCTACAGCTCCAGAGCGCCTCGGCTCTCCTCTATGATGGGAAGCAGAAAGGAGGTTGTGGTGGCAGCTTGGTCTCCCCGAGGTGGGATATTGGCTCAACAGTGATCGAAAGCCGCGATCGGTTCTTGCTCAATAAGAATGCTTTTCAGAAGTTGAGCCTGGACGGAGAACACAGGGCAAAAAGAGGGGAAAGCTGTGTGTGTGTGTGTGTGTGTGTGTGTGTGTGTGACAAATCCCATCTTGCCGTCCTGCGAGTGGGGGGTGGGCTTGGGGGAATTCAGCCAGAGCTGGCAGCTTGTGAGTGCGCAAGTCGGCAGGCGGACAATAGGCGCTTTGTATCACAGCCTCATTCAATTCCCATCAGTTCCGCCATCCAGCCACCTCCAGGCTGTCTGGTCTGGGTGCCCCTCATGCTCAGCAGCTCTGCCAGGACTTCTGACCCATGTGTGCCCCTTGCAAGGGCACCCTCTCAAAAGACCTCGGCTTCTGCCCGCCAGGAACTTGGTAACTTTCCACACACCTGTGCTTAGGGGAGGGCTGGAGCCTGGGGGCTGGGGGAGGGAGCATCTGCTCTGCATGCGGAAGGCCTCAGCTTCAGTCCCCAGCATCTCCCATCCCTGAAATCCCAGACAGCTGCTGCCAGTCAGTGTAGACAGAACTGAGCTAGATAAGCCAGGGGTCTGAACCAGTAGAAAGCAGCTGCCTGTGTTACTTTGGGAGAAGGGAATCTGGCCACTGCAGGGCCTGACTGACGCCCATCACAGCCTTTCCCTCTATGTAGATTAAAACATGTTAATAGCACAAGTAGCACGAATAAGAAGCTGCCTTAAATGGAGTCAGATCACTGGTCCATCTAGCTCATTACTGTCTACACTGACCGGCAGCAGCTCTCCAGGGTTTCTGGCAGAGGGTGTTCTCAGCTTTACCTGTGGATGGATTTTTTCCATGCAAAGGTGATGCTCTACCACTGAGTTACAGCCTTGCAGGCCACATTTTAAGCAGAGGTTGGATGGCCATCTGCCATGGATACTTTAGCTGAGATTCCTGCATTGCAGCGGGTTGGACTAGATGACCCTTGGGGTCCTTTCCAGTTCTACGTTTTTATGATCGGCCCATTCCTTATGACGTTTTCTGCATTTTAGGTTTTTCTTGCATTTAAAGTGGTACCTCGGAAGTCGAACGGAATCCATTCCGGAAGTCCGTTCGACTTCCAAAACATTCAGAAACCAAAGCGCGGCTTCTGATTGGCTGCAGGAAGCTCCTGCAGCCAATCAGAAGCCGCGTTGGACTTCCGGGTTCCAAAGAACGTTCGCAAACCAGAACACTCAATTCCAGGGTTGTAGCATTCAGGAGCTGAAACGTTTGACTTGCAAGGCGTTTGGGTTCCAAGGTATGACTGTACAGCGTTGTGTTTTGTTTTCTGGTGGTTTTAAAGCATGCCATTTATTGGTTGCTGTAAGTCTCTTTGGGTTGCACTGCGGGGGGGGGGGGTGGCTAACAAATTTAACAAGTTAAAATAAATTAAATAAGGTACATGAACCACTCCTCAGGGAGGGGGAAGAGGCTGATAGGTCTTTCCTATCTCCCCCTAGTTATTGGCGGAGAGTATGGAGCAGGCATAGGCAAACTCAACCCTCCATCCCTAGCTAACAACTCCCACCATCCCTAGCTAACAGGACCAGTGGTCAGGGATGATGGGAATTGTAGTCTCAAAACATCTGGAGGGCCGAATTTGCCTATGCCTGGTATGGAGGATGCTTTTACAGCAAAGGAAACCCATTGGCTCTTGTCCAAGCTCCTCAGAACCAACTTTGATGAAGGGAGTGAGCATAGGCACCTTCGTCTGTGCTACCAACGTGCACAGATCGTGGTGACAAGGACACACCTCTCTCATTTTACCAGCCCTTCACGCTGACAGGCCTGGCATTGAGCTTTGCACACCCCTGCAGTATGTTGCCATAGCTGCCTGGCACCAGCTCAACCGCCAGAAATTAGGTCATTCCCAGAAGCCAAGAGATGTTAATTTTGTGCATTTGTCTCTGTAAAGCTGGCCACTCCTTTGGTCTCCTCCCCCTCTGCCCTGAATTACAGGGCCTGTGGAAATCCACCAGGCACATCTGCTTACCCCCTCTGTTGCCACAAACGCACACAAAGTTTGGGGATGGCGCCACATTAATACAAGCCACCACTATCTGCTCTGTGCGTCTTCCCAGGCCCTGGTGCCCTCACACTGTCCCCAGTAGCTTCAGGCTAAACCAAAATCAAATCCAGGAACCCCTTGGGCAGATTGTAGGGGAATCATAGAGTTGGATCCATGAGGATCATCTAGTCCAGTGATGGCCAAACTTGTCCCTCCAGCTGTTTTGGGACTACAATTCCCATCATCCCTTGATCACTGGTCCTGTTAGCTAGGGATGATGGGAGTTGTAGTCCAAAAATAGCTGGAGGGCCAACTTTGGCCAATACTGATCTAGTCCAACCCCCTGAAATGCAGGAACCTTGTGCCCAACATGGGGCAAAACATGCAAGGACCATAGCTCGGTGGTAGACCATCTGCTTTCTATGCAGAAGGTCCTAGCTTCAATCGCTGGGATCTCCAGGTAGGGATGGAAATATCCCCAGTCTGAAACCCTGGAATGCCACTGCCAGTCAGTGTAGACCAGGCATGTCCAAAGTCTGGCCCAGGGCCATTTGTGGCCTGGGCCCAGTTTAAACCAGCCCCACAGGCAATTTGGAAAAATCAATCTGTTGCGGCCCCCGAGCACCTGCCTGCTGCTCTGCTCGCTCTCCCCTGGAGCCAATGCTCCGCCAAGGAAGGTTAGAGGTGGGCAGGGTGGGCTGCGATTGGTGCGTCTCCAGCAGTGGCGCTGTGTGTTTGGTTGCTTGAGCGGTGCTGCTCGAGATGTCAGTGCGCAGGTGTGATGCGGACGAAGCAGGCAAGGTGAAGCGAGAGGGGAATTCTGCGGCAGCAGCTTGGCAGCTGCCCGCCGCTCTGTATCCCTTCTGCTGGTCAGCTTGCACAGGTGCCCGGTGTTCATCTCTCACTCCCGTCCGTCGTTTGGCTCTCTGTTCTGCCTGTGAACCTAGTTTCTGCTATTCAATTTTGTAAGGATTGTGAGACCCTCAACAACTTGGGGGGAACAATCCTAAGAAAAGGTCAAGAACTTCAATCCTAAAAAAAAGGTCAAGAACTTTGGGGGAACAATCAAATAATGTCAGGCAAAATGGTCAGCCCTCATGCATGTTCACGTCATCAAATCTGGCCCTCTTTGAAAAAAGTTTGGGCACCCCTGGTGTAGACAGTACTGAGCTAGATGGACCAATGGCCTGACTCAGGATAAGGCAGCTTCCTATGTTCCTAGAGGTGGGGAACATGTGGCTCTCTAGATGTTGTTTCATGACAACTCATATCATCCCTGATCATTGATCATGCTAGCTGGGGCTGATGGAGGAGAAATCCAGCAACCTCTGGAGGTACATAGGCTGCCTATTCTTGCCTTAGGACATACGCTCCAACTTGTTTACAGCCTTCCCTGGCCTGTTGCCTTCCAGATGTCACTGGTCTACAGCTCCCTTCATCCCTGACCATAGGCTGATGGAGGCCCTCAGGCTAGAGAAAGTGACGTACTGTAAGAAGTAAGAAGGCAGGCAGGTGGGGTCTGGCTGAGGGCAGATGATCTCTGGTGGAGCAGGGCCTCATCTGTCCTAATGGACCAGCCTCCACTGCTATTGCAGATGAATAGCGCAGTTGGTTAGAGCCAGGTGCTGATAACACAAAGGTTACAGGTTCAATCCCAGTATGGGATAGCTGAATATTCCCACATTGCAAGGGGTTGCACTAGATCAGTGTTTCCCAAACTTGGGTCTCCAGTTGTTCTGGGACAACAACTCCCATCATTCCTAGCAAGACCAGTGGTCAGGGATGATGGGAATTGTAGTCCAAAAACAGCTGGAGACCCAAGTTTGGGAAACACTGGACTAGACGATGCTCAGGATTCCTTCAAACTCTACAATTCTACGGTTCTCTTCTCCACCTGCAATCAACTGCCCTGTACTTCTGAAGCAAGTGTGTTAGTAAGCCAAGAGGGCATCTCCTTTTAAAATATATCTGTATGGATAGCCCTTGGATTGTAGAGCTGGAAGAAAGCACACTCTGGCCTCTGCCATCATCCCAGGGACTAAGGGCTCCTGGGTTAGTTGCACAACCCCTGCCCAAGCAAGACGAAACCAGCTTGGCCACAGCTGGATGTGCATGTCTGTTTATAACTCACGACTTTGTCCTGGCATTGTCAAAACGGATGTCCCTGTTCCCTCCGCTCTCCTGCCCTGGCTGTCTTTTTTTAGTCCATAAGCCTGAAGGCAGGGAGATGGCTCTCGTCTGGAACTTTGTTTTATTGATACGAACTCCTTTGGGAAATAATATTCATCTGAAAACAGGGATAGGAGTTCTGGGTTGCAGTAGAACTAAGTTCTACTCAGAATAGACCTGCTGAGATGAACAAACCTACCTAAATTGGTCAAGTTTGTTAACTTGAAGGGGCCTACTCTGAGTAGGGCTCACAGCAAACACCACCCATTATGTGTTTGTGTCAGGGATGGGGAACCTGTGGCCCTCCAGAGGATGGTGGAATAAAACTCCTATCCTCTTCAGTGGTCGTGGCCCATGCAGAATGCAGCGGATGGGAGTTGGAGCCCAGAAATACGTGGAGAGAAACAGGTTCTCCATCCCGGACGTCCTATATTAATAATAACCGTGTGTTTAAGATTGAATAAGGGCTTGTCTCATGCCAAGGAAGCTTGGGTCTGAGTGGTTTCTTAGCTTGACTCACAACCCTCCAACATTTCTCTGGTGGAAATAGGGCTGTCCTAAGGAAAAGAGGGACATTCCAGGATCAATCAGAAACCGAGATGGCTTCTGTAAATCTGGGACTGTCCCTGGAAAATAAGGACACCCAGAGGGTCTGTTAAGTTTTGCCTTTGCCACTCCACTTTCCCCAGGAAAACCTGCTCTTTAGAGCTAAATTAGAGCAAACATCAACCAGGAGAAAACCCATTTGACATTTGCAGTAAAAATTGGGTTTTCCCAGAGGGAAGTGTCAGGGCAAGCGAGTGTAGATGAGCCCTGTGACTTATGACACATTTGTTGAGGCTGGCCCCAAGAATGGTGTAAAGAGCTCCAGAACACTGTTTGCATGTCCTCTGCAGCAGACCACTTTCTTCCCTATGAATTAGTGCTCCGTACTGGATACTTCCGTTCCTTTGCATGAGCTGTGTCAAAACCGTTCTTCCAACTACTTGGAAGTTTTTTGCTCCTGTGAAAGAGGCTTCTGCTGCTGCTTCCTCATTCACAGCCAAGAAAGTTTGGAACGCCCTTTATCTCTTTGGTTGGTGTGGTGTACTTTTCTTTCCATTAAACATTTGCCTTGTGCTCTGCAGCTTCCTAAGCTGCAGGTGCTTCCCGATATGGGAAAACCTCATAGGAGGAGGATGGATAGGAGAATCTGCCATTTTCAACTTCTCTCAGTTTCTCATTTCCCCAGTCTTAGGTTCAGTTCTTGTCATTTCCACATCCGTTTCTGATTTTTATTTAAAAGCCCTCCAGAAAATTCACCGGCATTTTAATGCCAAATTTATCCATATCCCCCCCACCACGTTTTTAGGCATTTCCCACTAATATATGCATTTTTATGCATATTTGGTCTCACGTATATGCATTTTTGTACTCATTACTTGGCTGAAGAACTGCGTTGCAAATTTTGGAGAGGCGTGGACTTCAAAGTGTAGCTGCATTTCAGCTCATCTATTGTTTCAGAAAGTACAAATCGGGGAGGTTCGCACTGAATCAAATTTCACCCCATTGTGTTCTGATATCTTCCTCTGGGCTTGAATTCAAGAATGGAGGCTGGCAGCCATTGTGCCTGAAACAGGTGCATCTGCTGATCTTGTCTTTAAGGGAAGTCTTCCCTTTTATCTTTTTTTTTGTTTTGTTTTTTAAAAGACCTTTCCAGAATGATTTCTTTTACATTCAATTTTTTTAAAAAAACCACGACCAGCAGCAGTCAGCTGTACAATAGGTTGCTTTCCCAGCTTCCTGCCCTTACAGAGAAGCCCCGCAGAGGATGCTGTAGTTTTTTCCCTAGGAGACACACACACCCTGAAAAGGAGCAGGATGCAGCCTACCAGAGATATCATTTGTAGAATAAAAGGACGGACAGCCACCCAACGCCTTGGTGGACTCAAAAGTGATGAAAGCACAACCAGAACAATGCACTCTGCCACGAGTTTTCCACCAAAGCTTCTCCTTTCTGTGCATAACTTTAAAATGCAATTTCATTTCTCACTAATTGATGGTGGCTGGTTGGGTTGGGGAACCGTGAAACTGCTGCCCAGGCATCCCCCACTAGTCCTGCCCAGTAGACATTCCCATCCCCCCAAAAAAAAACCCAAAAGGAAAGAGCGAGAGGCAGACAATTCATTTGGTGCAGTTCCTGCCAATTCTTTCACCTTCTCCCCTTTCTGCTACAACAAGTGTTCAAGATGTGACAAAGTGCAAGTCGGCTGCGCCGTCTCCTTTTTGGAAATGCCTAAGTGGCTGTGAGGCCCGATAAGGGACTCCTGAGTAGATTAGAACAGAACCACATGCCAAATTTAAGGGCTTTTCTGTCTGGTTAATGTTCTGGAGAAAGGTGAGCCTAAGCTGGCAGGGTGGAGAGACGGAAAGAGAGGGGCAGCAGCCTCACCCTAACACTTCTTCAACATTGCTAGGGCTTTCCCCAAAGCTGTTTGAAGTCGGTTGGCCATCAGCCCTGCTTTGCAGAGGGACAACCCTCTATTTCAGGAGTGGGAGACCTTTGGCCCTCCAGAGGTTGCCAAACTACAACTCCCATCAGTCCTTGCAAACGTAGCCAACGGCCTGGGATAATGGGAGTTGTAGTTCGGCAATGTTTGGTGGCCTAAAGGTTTCCCATGCCTATCTGAAGGGCTGTTTGGCTGAAGTCCGGTTGAAAGATGAATAATGGCAAGAATAATAATAGAATTGTAGAGTTGGAAGGGACCCTGAGGATCATCTAGTCCAACCCCCTGCAATGCAGGAATATGCAGCTATCCCATACGGGGATCGAACTTGCAACCTTGGCATTATCAGCACCATGCTCTAACCAACTGAGCTGTGAGAAAGCAGAGACCTTAAAACACCAGGACAGCAAAATGTGTAGGACAGCAGACTACACAGGTTACTTCTTCCACCCCACTTGGATGAGATGTGCCATATTTCTATTTAAATCAGGGGTTGTGAACCTTAGGCCTGGGGGCCAAATATGGCCCCAGGAGTCTTCCTGGACCACCACCCCACTCTCCTCAGGCCACACCCTTTTGCTAGCCCTGCTTTGCACCTCCCCTGAATTTTTTTGCCTGCCTGGAATGTTTCCTCGAATTCTGCTAATGCCTCTTGCTTGCCTGGGTAGACGAAGAGAGAGGGGAACATGAGTATGTGCAGAAACTAGCCTGCCATACAAGGAGAACATTTGCATCCATTGCCCCGCCCACTTTTGCTGCCCACAACTACCAAGTGGCTGGTCCCCAGAAGGCTGCCTATGACTCAGACTGAAAAACGTTCCCCACCCCTGATTTAAATTATAGTAGTTATTTCTAAATTTGCCTCCATCCATATGAATTAGCAGATCGATGCAGTTAACATTAACAAACAAATGCACATGTCATGCAAAAACAGTCTTTCTGGCGATGCATTTAGTCTTTATCAGCAATGTGCAAGCAGCCACCCTCATTTGACACACGAGTTGGAAAATGGGAAGAGAGCTGCAGTCAAGGCAAAAGCTAGTGTGGATCAGGAACACTGCCAAGACTCCTGTTATGTCTTTTCACAATCCCTCCACTGCTCCTTTGCTGTCCCAGAGACTTCTGAACACGTGCAGTTAAGGTTGCTCAGTATCCAGTTTGGGAAGCCCATTCTCGGGGCCTGAGGCCAGTGAGCATCAATATTGTTATGTACTGAAGTTCTCACCCTGGGCCAGCAGGGGGATACTGTAGATAGTTATGCAAATGAAGGATCGAAAGTGACGTTCAGTGATTGGATAGTTTTAGAAAGTTGCTACAGTAACGTTGTACTGGAGCTCTATATAAGCAGGCTGACTGAGCCCTTCAGCTCAGTTCTGTTCTGGCCTCTGAATAAACAAGAGCTGTTTGAAGAATCCCTATGTCGTCTGATATGTTCACCCACAACTTAACAAATATCAAGACCATGAACCAGTCTCATATTGCAAACTATTTGAATCTTGGGCCTGGGTGTTTTGCGGCAATATTATTTCAAAATACTAGCTGTTGCTTTTGATCAGTGATATGAAAGAGAGAATATACTCCTCTTTCCCAGTGCTTCCCCCAGATCCTCATTTTTCCAAAGCGGAAAATTTGCCCAAAACGTGGGAGAGAAAACCCGGAAAGCCTCGTTGTTTGTCATATTCCTGTATCTTTACATTGTCACTTTTGCCCTTTTCCTGCTGGACCACTTCCCCGGGCCCTGCCTAGATTTTGGCTGCGAGTCTTCTGTAACTTGAGCAAGCAGACACCAGGCTTGTGTGATCTACTTCATTTGTCACCGGAGTCCAGAGATTCACCAGCTGGAACCAGGTGGAAAACAGCAGCTGGCAGTGGGTGGTGGTAAGACATGTACCTTCAGGTTTATGGAACAGAATTCCCCTGGAGAACATTCTCAGGAATTTGTTTCGGGTACCAGAATAGAGGTCAGTCATGTTTTCTCCTGGTTTTCCCCACAATCCAAGCTTTCTTCATCTCAGCTGCCTTGTTTAGAAGGGGGGGGGACCCCTATTTTTTGTTATTACAGTAGGAAGTCAATTATCTTGCTCATCTGCTGCAAATTACTCAAGAGATCTATGAGTTAGATCTCTTATGTTGGCAGCCCCATGGTGTCCTACATAGCCTCACCCTATGATAGCACTATGGTCTGCCCCACAAGTCTCAGGCATTGGGATGATACAGACATTTCATTTTACCTTGTATATGAAGGATTTTTCTTTTTTTTCTTTTTTTTTGCCAAGAGGCAGTGGCATGTAACAGATTGCAGGATGTACATCCATCTATATTTGCATATAGATGTCACTAACCACCTGGGGAATTATCTGGCACATTCTGATGCGCTCCCTCCGCAGATCATGCACAACCAGCACTGCACTTTAAATGCGGCTCTCGTGATTCATGTACCCGGTCTTTAAAGGATATACACTTCAAAAATATGGCAGACAACAGTGTCTTAATGAGTTACGTAGCTTCACGAATCATGACAGCACCACCAATGCCATTTGATAATGTGGGCCTGCTGGGTGTGTTGGGGAGGCAGACTGAATGCCTACAAGTAGGACCTGCAACAAAGTGTTGCAGTGCGGAGTGATCCTGTTCCAGCCAGCCAGCCACATTCCCCCTCTAGGATATTCCATCCCATTCCCCCTCTGACCCTGCCAGAATTCTGTGGCCGCTGCACACATGCAGTCTACAACTGGTCTGTTTTGGGGTTCGCCTCCCCTTTGTGTTTCCCCCCCAGCCATCAATTTTCTAATGATTTGGGGGGCATTCCTACAAATTTTGGGGTCCCCACAAGCCTGCCCATACCTCCCTCTTGCATGGCACTGTTTTGGCAATGCAAGCACCGCTACTCCCACCTGAACATTAGAAGCAGAACAAATGACAAATCCAGAAATAGAATAGAGAATCATAGAATTCACCTAGTCCAACCCCCTGCAATGCAGGAATCTCAGCTAAAGCATCCATGACAGATGGCCATCCAACCTCTGTTTAGAAACCTCTAAAGAAGGAGAGTCCACCACCTTCTGATAGAGTCTGTTTCACTGTCAAAGAGCTCTGGTATTTAGTCTGAATCTACTTTCTTGTAACTTAAATCCATTGGTCTGAGTCCTCCCCTCCAGAGCAGAGAAAACAAGCTTGTTTCCTCTTCCATGTGACAGCCCTTGAGATATTTGAAAATGGGTATCCTCTCAGTCTCTTCTTTTCCAGGCCAAACTAACCCACCTCCTTCAACCGTTCCTCATAAGGCTTGGTTTCCAGACCCTTGATCATCTTGGTTGATGCTTGTGTGTTGGTTTTCAGACCCTTGATCATCTTGGTTGTGCTCCTCTGCACAAGTTCCAGCTTGGCAACCTCCTCCCTAAATTGTGGCACCCAACGCTCCACTTGTCTGTTTGTTTTTATTCTGTGGAGAAGGGTTTTAACTGAGGTCCAGCTCTGAGGGCCTTCTGGCAATTCCCTCACTGTAAGAAGTGAGGTTACAGGGAACCAGGCAGAGGGCCTTCTCAGTGGTGGCACCCATTCTGTGGAACGCCCTCCCATCAGATGTCAAGGAAATAAACAACTACCTGACTTGTAGAAGACATCTGAAGGCAGCCCTGTTTAGGGAAGTTTTTAATGTCTGATGTTTTATTCTTTTTTTATTCTGTTGGCAGCTGCCCAGAGTGGCTGGGGAACCCCAGCCAGATGGGCGGGGTATAAATAATAAATTTATTATTATTATTATTATTATTATTATTATTATTATTATTTTATTGTGACTGAAAAAGGGGAGCCTCGTTGTCATAATGCAGGGGGGCAGCAAATGTGGTGACCTTCCAGATACTGCTGAAAGGTGGTGTTAAGTTGTGGATGAACATATCAGACGACACAGCGATTCTTCAGACAGCTCTTGTTTATTCACAGGCCAGAACAGAACTGAACCGAAGGGTTCAGCCAACCTGCTTATATAGAGCTCAACTACAAGGCAACAGTAACAACTTTCTGTAACTATCCAATCACTGAACGTCACTTTCAATTCCTTATTTGCATATGTGGACCTGAGTGAAAACTATCTACAGTATCCCCCTGCTGGCCCAGGGTGAGAGCTTCAGTACATAACAGATGGAGAGTAGGCAAAGGTGGGGTGGGAAATGATATAATACAGTTGCGGAACTCCATCTCCCATCAGCCTGGCCAATGCTGAAGGATAATGGGAGTTGTAAGCCACTAGCATCCGGAGGCCACTGCATAGGCTATCTCTGCAGTAGGGGGTGAGGACTAAGGGAAGGGGCTGGGCCAAATGCGTCCCAGAGAAGCTGGCCTTTGATGAAGGATTTGAAGGGTAGGCGGAAGAGAGAAACAGCATCACAAAGGTGTTTGGGGAAGCAATTCCAGGCAGAAGGGGAAGCAAGGAAGACGCTTGTAAACCAGGGGCGGGAATCCTGTGATCCACCAGATGTTGCCAGACTCCACTTCCCATCAGCCTCAGGCAGCATGGCCAATGGCCATCCAACCACAACTGGAAGATCACAGATGGGCACTTCTGAAAGTTTATATTGTTTCTCCAGGGTTACCAGAACAGAAAAGCAGCCTTCCCAAACCTGCTGCCTTCCAGATGTTGTCAAAGCCCAGCTCCCATCAGTCCCAGCCATCATTTTTTTGTACGCATTTTTGCACTTGAGATAGTGTTCGTGAAGCGATACAGTTACAGCTGGAGACTTTGTGCGGTATGGACAATATCTCAGGTTTGTCAGCTGAAATATTACCTAGCCTATTCCCCAACAGAGCCCCTGTGCTCTCTTACCTTTGCACCAACTGTGATTAAATCAGGAAGACTCTAACTGAAAAGGGTTTGCGAAGTTTGTTCAAAAAAAGACAGGATGTAAAAGAACTACTTCCATGGATTCATATCCTGCTTTGTTCTGAATTTGGTAACCACAGGTTTCCAGTTCAGGACAAACCGGAAAAGGTCCTGGTTAGGTTCCTTGTGCTGCAATGTGGGTGGGGGGAAGAAGGAGCTGAATGCACAGGCAAAACATTAATAGATTATTGGCTTTTTAAGCCATGATAACATCCTGTAAAGATTGTCCTAATTTATGGATGCATTGAAGCTACACTTACCTTTAAAGAAAAACAAAAAACCCCACCTATTTTGGGAGTGCGAAGCTGCATGGGCATAGCCAGGGGGGCAACTGCCTCCCCCAAATCAAGCAAATTAATAAAAATTATTAATTGACTACTTGACTTAATTGACTACTTGACGAGATGGTTGGACAGTGTTCTCGAAGCTACCAGCATGAGTTTGACCAAACTGCAGGAGGCAGTGGAGACAGAAGTGCCTGGCGTGCTCTGGTCCATGGGGTCACGAAGAGTCGGACACGACTAAACGACTAAACAACAACAACGCCCATAGGGAGATTGGTTTCTGCGGTTCCCCACCCAGTTCAGTCTTCTGGTTTTCAAGGCCTTCAGCAAACACCAGCTGCACATTTCCCAACTTCATACCACAACCATGAGGTCTAGAAACCTTACATAGTACCAAAGCTGCATGTGGGCCAAGTGTTACAGAACATAGGGAATCAAAACACTGATTTTTGCAGTGGCAGCCAAGTCCCAGGTTGTTCTGGACTCATGCCCATTATGACACACCAAAAAAGAGAGAGGATTGTACCACTACAAGTGGAGGGTGTAAACACAAAAGGACAAAAGCTGATTCTGCTCTTGTCCAAGCTGTCTGAAGGTTCTTGAGGTGCGTAACATGTAACAAACCACAGCTGAACAATGTACAGTGTACCTCGGGTTAAGTACTTAATTCGTTCTGGAGGTCCGTTCTTAACCTGAAACTGTTCTTAACCTGAAGCACCACTTTAGCTAATGGGGCCTCCCGCTGCTGCTGCGCCACCGGAACACGATTTCTGTTCTCACCCTGAAGCAAAGTTCTTAACCTGAAGCACTATTTCTGGGTTAGCGGAGTCTGTAACCTGAAGTGTATGTAACCTGAAGCGTATGTAACCCAAGGTACCACTGTATTGGACATTGGGGTGGCCAGACATGGTGGCCTCCAGTTGTGGACTACAACTCCCATGAGGCATAGCCAGTCTGGCCAATAACCCAGGAGAACGAGTGTTGTAGTCCACATCTGGATGACACCAGGCTGTCTACCACCATGGAAGCCAGCTTATGGGCCAGATCATTGTATTCCACTTCTCAGCAGGCCCTTGCAGATATGATGTGGTCCTCCAGACTACAGCCTCCTTCAACCTTGACCCATTGCTCATGCTGGATGGCACTGATGGGAGCCTGAATTCAACCTCAGATGAACTGGCTTGTTACAGAATTGGTTCATCAAGCTCAGCATCGTCTACCCTGTTGGTGGCTCTCCAGGATTTCAGACCAGAGTCTCTCCCAGTTCTACCTGGAGATGCTGGGGATTGAATCTGGACCACCTGCACCTCTGGTGCATGCTCTACCAGTGAACCACAGCCCTGCCCCACCATGGCAAGAGGAGAAAACAATGTCTTGAGAACAGCGTCCTCATTTTACAGCAGATACATCCATTATTCTACAGCTCCACGTGTTCTGGGGCTGGGCTCTGGCAGTAAAAAAGCACAAAAACCCCCAGGTTCTAGGGCGAAACCAATACATCAAGTTAAGTCCTGGCTCTGGAAGGAGCAATAACTGCAGGAGAAGAGTCACACGGCTCTTTGAATCCTCTCTTCCCCATGAAATATGTTCAGCAGTGACAAAATCTTTGGGAGCCTGCCAATCTATCTAGTGGCCATCAAGCATGTAATAACTGCAGTTTTTGAAGGCTTCTGTGTCTTTTCTCCCCGAGAAAATTCAATTTTCCCTATTTCCTCCAACAATTTTCACTGGTAATAATCAATGGCTATCTTAAAGCATCTCTCCAGACGTGTTAAAAAAAGAGAGGAAAAATCAATCCAAAATGTTTACTGCCGCAGGAAATTAAGGGAGCAGACAATTACTTCGTGACAGAAGATGAGACGCGAGAAAATAAGAGCTTTATTTTGTTTAATAGCAACTGCCACTTCATACAGTGTAAGCAGCCTCACATCCACAAAGCATGCCAGTATTTACAGGAGATGGAGAGATAGGCACTTTTATGCCCCATTCATTATGGGTCTGAGCTGTTCATTTGTTTTCATGCGTCCTTTTTTCAAATCTATAGACTCTTCTCCTCCTCCCCGTCACCCCACCCCGGTTTGTGCCAATGCAACAGGCTGATGGACACAAACCAAAATCTGTAAACAGAATAATCCATAGAAAACACCAATGTTTGGGGAAAGGCGCAGTGGGGATCCTCAGCCAAGCACTGGCTGTGTTTGGACACACTGTCCAGCTAACTAGCTTGGCTCACACCAGGGTTTCCCAAACTTGGATCTCCAGCTGTTTGGGGACTACAGTTCCCAACATCCCTGACCACTGGTCCTGCTAGCTAGAGATGGGAGTTGTAGTCAAAAAACAGCTGGAGAGCCATGTTTGGGAAACCCTGATTTACACAATGCGCATGATCTATGGCAGCCTTTCTCAACCTGTGGGTCCCCAGATGTTGTTGAACTACAACTCCCATCATCCCTAGCAAGGCCAGAGCTCAGGGATGATGGGAGTTGTAGTCCAACAACATCTGGGGACCCACAGGTTGAGAACTGCTGATCTATGGGCTGGTGCATGAGGCTCAAGGCTCCCACTTTTATCCTTTACTTCATAAAGTCACCGCAAAAGGGGAAACCTTTGCATTTTGCCCAGATAACCATGACCAGTAAAGCCAGCAAGTAAAGGCTGGCAAAACAAACCACAGTCCCAGGTTTTGGGTGCAATGTGATGCTAGCTCAGGGTTGGAAAACCTATTGTTGGACTCTGACTCCCATCATCCCTGACCATTGGCCTAGGGCTGATGGGATATGGAGTCTAGGAGCATTGGTGTCACAAACACCCAACCCTGTGCTAACCCTCACATATGTAGCTTTTTTTACCTGCTTGAACCAACAGAGAAGCAAAATGGGAGAACTGCAAAGCATGGTTTTCAATACTCAAGTTTCTTTGTGTGCTGGGGGGCAAGACGAGAACTGCTAGTGATTCCCCCTAAGCGGCTGGGTCACCAACAGCCAGGGACAAATTTCCTGGTGCCGTGCCAAACTTAACTTATTAACACTTTTCTATATGTGGTGGTCCATGCATGCATGAAATACTTAATTTTGCAACATGAACCCAGGACAGATGCAAAGTGATTGAAGCAAATAGCATTCCACAGCAAAGAACACATCAGCATAGAAGTCTCTCTCTCTCTTTTCTTGTTAAGCACATGGGCTCTAGATGCAACCCATCATTCAGTGCATTTGTTCAGTTCTTATGGCCCAAACAACTATGGACAGGATGGTGTCCATTTTCCAATTCCCGTGCAAGTGTGGAAACAGGTAACGAGTGATGGATTCAGCCTCGTGGGGAAAATCACTTCTTTTTTAAAGTATAAAAGCACGCTTAACCCCATAGGGTTAAGAAGACCGGCTTGAATGTTTGTGGACAGCGCCTGGTGAAATGGCGAAGGCTTGAAGGACAGTGCTGTTGGTGGTTTCCAGTGGATCATAGGACTGGATTTCACTATGCATTTTTGCCCCCTTTGACCTGCAGAAGGTTGATGTATGCAGATATATATACAGTGGTACCTCGGGTTAAGTACTTAATTCGTTCCGGAGGTCCGTTCTTAACCTAAAACTGTTCTTAACCTGAAGCACCACTTTAGCTAATGGGGCCTCCTCCTGCTGCTGCGTCACCGGAGCACGATTTCTGTTCTCATCCTGAAGCAAAGTTCTTAACCCGTGGTACTATTTCTGGGTTAGCGGAGTCTGTACCAGTGGTTCTCAACCTGTGGGCCCCCAGATGTTGTTGGACTATCATCCCTGAGCTCTGGCCTTGCTAGCTAGGGGTGATGGGAGTTGTAGTTCAACAACATCTGGGGCCCCACAGGTTGAGAAAGGCTGCGTGTACCCTGAAGTGTATGTAACCCGAGGTACCACTGTATATGCATGCATTGTGCATACCGGATATGGCCAACCTGAAGTCCATCCATTCTTGTTGGCTCAAGCCAGCATGCCCAATGGTTCTGAAGTTGGCGTCTGACGGCATGTGGACGACCACGTGGCTCCCACTCCACCCCTCCTGCCCGCTCTCTGCAGCTCTCTGGCTAAGCAGGTTTCCCAGCACTTCAACGATTTGTCATTTCACCCAGAGAGGGGGAAAGAAGCCGCACCATGTTAAGTTTCCTCCGAGATACTCTAAAGATCACCTTGAATTACGGCAAGGCTTATTTTTAGTTGATCAATGCATCAGTTATAATTGTTTTGTCAGCCTTACCAAGGCAGCCTTCTCTTCCTCCTCCTCCTCCTCCTCCTCTCTCGCCCCACCCCCACCACTGCTGGGGGCTGCCGACCAGCCATTCCTCCCACCCACCCCACCTCCCAGCTCTGTGTCAGTGATAGGCGGAGGGGGTAGTCATTTGCATAACTTAATACAGGCAAGGCTCAGCATTAGTATTCAGATAAATGCACTCGTTGCAACTTTGCCAACTTGAGATCACTGCAAATTTGAGTGGATTTCCACAGAGACAACAGAAGGCACATCCCCCAGGCCAGCTTTTGCTCCTGCCAAATTTCAGTCACACAGCTTCTCAATGAGATGGCTGCATTTTTTTTTTTAAAAAAATTTTTTTTTGAAGGTTTAAGAGGGAAAATTATCCCCTTTTCTAGAATTCTGGGAGCCAGCTGGAAATGCATTTATTTATTTATTTGTGCTGCTGGAACACCAAACAGAACCCTGAAGCACAGAGGAAGGAGGGGGGGCGGGAAGAGAGAAAAGCAGCCTTAGATGGGCAGAAGCTGTGAATGTTTGACAATAGCAGGTTCATTACGACTATTTCAGATCAGATGCTTTTTTTTTTAAAGCAAGGACAGAACAGGGACGCACAATACCATTTTTTTTTTGCCAGCTCAGAACACCTTTGGCTTGGTGGAGAATCGTGTGCTCTTTGAAAGCTTTGTTTAAACTAAAGAAAAAGAGGGAAAGTGTGTGTGTGTGTCGGGGGGGAAGAGGCTGCCTTATTCTATGTTACTAAAATAGAACGGTGCTTTTCAAAATATATTCCAAAGAACTCTGGGGTTCCGCAGCAGCTTGCCAGGGGTTCCTTGATGGAGAGAAAAGCAGCTCCTGCAAAAGGCACAGTTTCCGCAACTACAGACCTTCCCCTACAATGAAGGGGAGCGTGGAGGTCACAACCGCAAAGCCATAGCCAGGTCCTTATGGGAACCAAGAGCAGAGGCGTACCTAGGCTCCCTTGCGCCAAGGAGCTGTATGGGCGTCCCCTGCTTGTCCCTTGAACCCTTGGCAAGGAGAGTGTGCAAACAGGTGGGTGGGCTCCTAGCCACTCCCAAGCAGAGTGGAGAGTTGCGATTTTTGTGCCCCCCTTGAACCTGATCTCACCAACCCATTGTTACCCTTGACAAAAAAGTACACCATAAAATAGAGGAGAAACTCAAACATCATCCTCAAGGCCTCTGTCCACATATAGGACTATTCCTCAGGCCATGCCCCTTTGCCCTTCACAGCCACACCCACCCACTCAAGGCCACACCCCTGACCAGCCTTGCTCTGTGTCTTCCTTTGAGTGCCCACCTCGGCTAAGTGGCCCCTGAAAGGTTGCCTCTGAGGAAAGCGGTCCCTGGGCTGAAAACAAGATTTCCTCCAAACATTTCTTAGGATCCTTTGCCAAATGTAGTACTTTGTGTTGGTCCAGATATGTGGTAGGTCCTTGATGAAGGCAGGAAGTATTGGACAAACCAACAAACATTGACAAAGACCAATAGCCTTCAAATGGTGTGATGCGGGTTAGTACTCCGACGCCCATCAACCCCAGCCAGCATGGCTGACGGTCAGGGATGATGGGAGTTGTAGTCCAACATGGCCATCCCTGGTGTACTGGGTTGTGTCAGTGATGGAGCCTTTGTTTTATCTGGGGCTTGGGGGGAAGCGACTGAGGGACTTTTGCCTTTAGAGAAGGTGAAAGAGATTAAGGGGGGAGAAAAAAATGCGGCAAAGGAGGACATCAGACCTAGAAAGGGGTTCCGTGTTGGAGATCCATGTTAAAGAGAGGTCCCAGCTCTGGAAAAAAAGTCGGAGATTATAAGGACGTTGCAATGTCAGAGAATGAGTGGGGGGAAACGAAAAACAGCTCCTTGGAAATTAAGTGCATCACTGCACACACCGTCACAGACAACAACCTACTTTGCAGGTTGCTTCCTCGGTCTCCTGCAAACACCGAACCTGTTGTGGGAAATGAAGATATGAACAGTAGGGGTGTGGTTTTTTTCTTTTTAAAGTTAACTGAACCAAATTCTGTTGGTAAAGAGATGAGGAGGAAGCTGTGGCCTTCCAGCTGTTGTTGAACTCCAACTCCCATCAGCTCCAGTCAGCATAACCAATGATCATCTGCCAGCATCTGGATGCCTACAGGGTCTCCAAGACAGTCCCATGGCAGCTGCGGAGTCCTCCTGAGGCAGCCCAGATAAGAGAGCCTTGGCTTGGATGTCGAAGGCCCCAGTTACAATAGGCTGGTGTTCTCTAGCATCACCGGTGAGACCATCTTGTGCATGGAGTCAGTATCCCCCAGGTGCTTATATGCATTGGCCCATGGCCAGTATGGCCAATGGTCAGGGGGTGTTGGGAGTTGTAGTACGGCATCAGGGGATGCTCACAGGTTCCCCATCATAAATCACAGTGCAAGGACTGTGGTGGCTGTTAACTTTCCACCCCATGCATTAGTGCCACAGGGAAATTCATTTTCTAGGGAGAAGTGTTCAGCTGCCCTAACGCGACCGTTTGAAATCCTGTTTCTGTCCTTAAACTCCCCCGCCCTGCATCTTAGTCTCCCATGTTCCGGCTGCTGCCTCTGGCTGCTGGCTCAAGACACATCATCATTAGACACTGCCCCCCCTGTCCCCGGCTCCCTCCCCACCCTTGTGCAGAGGTTGATTCAACGCCAGCGAAGAGCAGGCGCCATGGGGGGAAAAGAGCGCCACAACCACTCAGGAATCATTAGCGTTACTGCAAAGGGAACTTGTAGCCAGGGGGCAGAGGCTAAGCCAGGCGTGCAAGTGTGAACTCACTTATCCCCTCGACACCTCCGCAACCCACGCATCCCCGACACCCCCAAACCCTGCCCTGAGGGTGCCGCTCTGCACTCCCATCGCTGCCACTGAAGGCATCTGACAGCAGATGAGCCAAGAGAACCCGGCCAACTCCGGAGGGTTGCCAGGCCCAAAGGAAGACACATTCAACTCCTTGCATCGGTGGTAGAGTCCCGTTTTTGCTTTGTACTCATGAGGCCCTGGGTTCAGTCCTCAGCATCTCTAGCTAGGACTGGGAGAGGCCGCTGTCCGAAACCCTGGAGAGGCGCAGCCAAGGTTGGTATGGACCATACTGAGCTTATAGGCAGACCATTGGTGCAATTCTGCATAAGGCAGCTTCTGGTCCTCTCCAAATGAAACGGCTCCTGTGCCTTTAAGAGCTGTCAGGGAGAAGTTCAGCAGGTGCACCTTCCCCCATCACTGCACTGCGACTGGAGGAGAGCTCCTCCTGGCCGAACAGCAGAGCCATTTAACAGGATTTCATTTCTACATCGGAGGAGGCACAACCACAGCTGCCCACTGGCCCAGGTGGCTCCTCCCAGTGACCCACTGCCAGGATGACCCTGGGGTGCCCTGCTTGGAGGCAGGCTTCCCATGTTGCAGCAGGCCAATGGGAGAGGGGTGTGTGTGTGTGTATATATGATGCCCTTAAGGGAGGCACAGCAGAACGCAGGCAGATGCCTGACCCACAATCCACTAGGCCCGTCCGCTGCACCGCACAAACCCCACTGAGATGGAACCATGCTATATCTTAATATGCAGATCCTGCTTCTTTCCATGGGGGGGGGGTGCACAGGCAAACTTTCCCAGTGCATGGCGCTACATGCCAATGGGGACAGGGTGTGGAGAGAAGAGTGCTCTTTGGATTCCGCCCCCCCCCCCCGCCTCAGGCCCCAACATGCCATAGGCTGCCTAAACACCATACATTTAAAGCACATTTCCACCACCCAAAGAACACACTGGCAGCTGTAGTTTACTCATCCAGAGCTACAATTCACAGCATTCTTAAACTACAATTCCCAAAATTCTTTTTTGGGGTGGGATTGCTTTAAATGTATATGATGCATATGGAGTCTCCAGCTAGGCCTGCTCCTGTGCATGTAGGGGGTGCAGCCTATTGAGGGGCTGACCCCAAATCTAGGCAAAGAAATCTCATAACCAGAGACTGAAGCTGATTGGCAGGTTAACTAGCCAACCACCTTCCAACATTCCCTACATGACTCAATCACAGAACTCTTTCCCTAGACACCAGTGCCAGTTGAGGGAGGTGAGAGGCGAGAGGCACAACTCTGGGCATCTGCAGAGGGCCCCCCCAAGTTTCCACTTACGCATCCACAACAACCAGAGTTTGGTATTTCTGGAATTTATCCTAAATTCCGCTTACCTGGGCGCAAGCGTCCAATGAACTCAATAGGACTTACTTCTGTACAGAGAAGGGTTAGCATTGAACTTGCCAGGCCTCCTGAAACACCCCCCCCCCCAAATCCTGAACCTCTGGTAGAAATTACAAGACAGGAAGGGGAGGGGGAGAAATTAAATCATATTAAAAGTAAAGGTGCTGCGGGATGGGGGTGGGATGGGGAGAAGCACACCAGTGCCAGGCGAGGCTTACCCAGATTCAGAAGGGGAGGGGGGAGTTCGGAGGTTCCGCGCTCCTCTTCCTCCTCCCCCCCGCCCCCTTCAAGACTGATCGCGTATGCTTGCTAAATAATAAAGCCGCTCCTGAATGACAACGAGGTGTGGGTGCTGGGGTTGCAGCACTGTGGGGGAGGGACGGGGGAGTGGGTGGGAGGGGGCGCTGGTCGGCGTGCGAACCGAGCTCGCTTGAGATTTAGCCGTTCAAGGTTAACCACGAGAGGGAGTCTGCGGGTGGAAGGGAACTCAAAGATCAACCCTAACCCCAAGCACGCCCCCGCGGAGAAGAGCACTTCAGGGAATCAGGCAGGGCGATGGTAGCCCTCCCATTCCCACAGGGAAAAATTAGAATAATTATTCACACACACACACACCCCACGCGCAAAAAAAAAAAAAAAAATCCCTCCCTGAGATGAAACTGCAACGCGTGGTTTTAACGAGGGTGTGTGTGGGGTAATACCCCTCCCCATAGAAGGGGGGAAGGACCCACTCACTTCGTTGCTGGCTGCACCAGAGGTTATTTGCTTAAGTTCACCCCCGCAGATAACAGGGAGCGGCAAAGGCAGTGGTACAAAGGCGACTTCTCCTCAAGGTCATACATACATGCGTACTCAAGAATCATTGGCACAGTCCGGATGAGCCCCCCACCCACCCCAGGAAAGAAAAAACACCCGCCCCAGCAGTCCGAGTCCCAACCCATTCCTCAAGGAAGGTCCCAGCCGGCCGCCTCCGTTCCTCTGCTCAAACCATTAAGCCCCATGATCTCCCCCAGAGTCAGGAATAGAACCCAGGTGTCCTGAGGCACTGCTCCTTGTCCCCCCCTCCCCCTTGTAGCCAGAAACAGAGCAACCTCCCCGCACTCTCAGCCCGGTCCCAATCCTAATAATATATAGCCTGGTATCTTTCGTGAAAGAGTTGGACCCGTTCAATTTTTTTTTTTTAAGTCTTAAGTTTAGCGTCAGTGGGTGGGGTGGCTTTTTTTTTGGGGGGGGTCCCCTTAAGGCTGGCAAACTGGGAGATTCCTCCCCCCTCACACACACCCCTCCCGTCTCCATCAGAAGGAAGTTTGACAAATATAAAGCAGTTGCAGTTCATACCTGGGTCTGCAAAGTAACTCAGGGATACGGTCCAGGTCAGCAGGAGCGCCGTCCTCATGGTGGGTGGCATCGAGGGTGGGTGCTGGTGGGAATGGGCGCTTCAGCGGGGATGGGTGTCACTGCAGGAGCCTCCCTTTCACACGACCGCCCTTCTCCCGTGTCCGCCTTCGAATTCCTCAGCGAGGCTGACCCGGGTCTCGAGGATTCCAACAGTTGCGGGTTCTTTCCTGCTTTTAAGAGAGGGGGCGTCTACCGTGACCTTGGTGTCTGGGACTGGGATGGTTTAAAGCAAAAGTGGAGGATGTTGGGGGAGGAGGAGGGATTTTTGAAGTTGCAAGGAAAATCCCGAAGCTCATCTCCTTAAAATAAAAAAGGAAAGGAAAGCGGGGAAGGACCGGACCACTTTCCCCCTTCTTCCTTCCTGCCTTCCTCGCGCTCTCCTGCCCCTCCTGCAGGACTCGCCAGCTCCCCAGCTACTTCCACACTGTAGCCGTCCACCTCCAGGGAGCTCCTGCTCATTCAGCAAGGGTAGAGCATGGCCACGCCCACCGCGGCTCCGGATTGGCTGCCTGGGAAGCTGCACTCATTAAGAAAAAAATATATATATCACACGCTCGCATTCAGAAACCGCTCGCTGGCTAGCGGTGGCTGGCTTGCTGGTTCGCTCGCTCGCTCGCGGGCGGGCGGGCACGGATGAACCAGCTCGCGCATCGCCTCCTCCTCTCCCCACCCACCCCCGTGGGTGAAAAGGTCCGAGCTTAGTGGGTGCGGTGGGGAGTGCGAGGGGGAGGAGGCAGCTGCTGCCTGCGGAAGGGTGTGCAGTACGCTAGCAAACGCACCTCGTCCAACGCATCGTGTATCACAATGGGGCACATCATATACTGAGTGTTAAATTAAAGGCTGTGTGTGTGTGTGTAGCTAATTGTCCCTTTTTAATATTTAAAAGGATCTTGAGAATGCCAGCATCCGATAGTCCCAGAAAGGATGCAGTGGTGCCTTCTCATGTTCCAAACTCCTTCCATATAGAACCTCGTTAAATTGCATTTTTCTCTGGGGTGGTGGTGGGGAAAGTATTTGTTTTCCTGGTTTCTCTCCCCTACCCTGGAAAAAGGTATTTTTTTATTTTGTTGAAATCCAATCTCCCCTCTGATATTTTGCCTGTTCTGGGCTTCTATGTTGAAAAGTGTGGAAGTTGCATTATTTATTTGTGGTGGGGTTGCTGGTGGGATGATCTGCTGACCCGCTTTGCAGGGAAAGAGAAAGGCGAGAAATAGCGGGGGCTGAACAGCAAGGCCCTGGGGTGGGAAAGCACGCTGCACAACAATCTGATGCAACAACTACATGCATCAAGGCAGCTTTCTGACCGGGCCTTGCTTGCCCCCAAGAGACTCTGCTTGTCCCCTTTTGCACATAACCTAGCTCCCTCCTTAAACTGCCCCAGGCAGGCGTAAGCAAAACCATAGTTTAAATCGTAGGCTGGAGGGGCTTGTCTAATTCAAATTTCTGCTTGTCTAATTCATAGGCAGGGATTAATAGGAGCCAAATTTTAGCTCTATTTTTTGTTTTAACCTGCAGACCCTTGGAACATGAGTGCATTGAGCACGTGCAGAGTGCATTCCTCCCAGCACAAGTTCCTGATCCCCTAGTATCGGGCTATGTACACATTACTATCTAAAAATGCAATTGTTCTTTTCTTCAATTTGCATTGGCTGGGTTTTTTTTGGGGGGGGGGCGAATGCATATAAATGCAGTATTGCCTAAGAAATGGCAGGAGAGATATGGGTTGTGGTAACTCTGCTTGCCAAACTGGCAGTGGTAGTGCACTGTATGCAGAGCAAAGGAGGGAATGTGTACACAATTCCTCAGGGCAAAAGGTCACATGACACCCAGTCTACTCTCCCTCCCACCCTGCTTTTGGAAATGAATAATGTTAGGTTGGCATTCATTCAGTACTTTTAGGCTGCACTCCTAAATGCATTTACCAGGGAGTAAATCCCATTGATAGGGACGCGGGTGGCGCTGTGGTCTAAACCACTGAACCTAGGGCTTGCCGACCAGAAGGTCGGTGGTTCGAATCCCCATGACGGGGTGAGCTCCCGTTGCTCGGTCACAGCTCCTGCCAACCTAGCAGCTTGAAAGCACACCAGTGCAAGCAGATAAATAGGTACCGCTCTTGCGGGAAGGTAAATGGCATTCTGGTTCACCAGAAGCGGCTTAGTCATGCTGGCCACATGACCTGGAAGCTGTATGCCAGCTCCCTCTGCCTATAGAGTGAGATGAGCGCACAACCCCAGAGTCGTCCGCAACTGGACATAACGGTCAGGGGTACCTTTACCTTTACCTTAAATCCCATTGAAGTAGACAAGTATATGAATGCACTACCAGGCTGCAATCCTGAATGCAGTGGATAGGAATGTGCTTTGAGACGGCTCAGAGAACTTTGTATGCCTGATCTCAACCATCCTTACAACAACGCTGCAGAATGGGTCGGTATTATCCCCATACTGAAGATGGGAGAGGGGTGAGGCTGAGGCAGAGCGGCTTGGGCTTTTTCATTGATCCCAGATGTTCGGAGTTGCGGTTACTCTTTGGTGAGGGAAATGCACACCGCCATGACTTCATGCAACCTGGACCGGGCCTGGACCTATGGTAATCCTGCAAAATGCTTTCTGTAATGAAAGAGATTACAGAAAGGCTACAGCGGGAAATCCAACATTCAATCTCTGCACCTCCAGATAAAGTTGGGAAGGAGCTCTGCCTGAACCCTGCCAGTCAGTGTGAACAGTTCTGAGCTTGGATGCACCAGTGGTTGGCTTTCTTGGTTTTTGGTTGATGGGCAGTGTATGATTATGAGTGGGTGGGGGATGACCTGGGAGAGAAGGTGGGGGGGAGTCAGAGGCATTTTTGCATCATGTTTACCATGATTACTATCTCTTCGTTTCCTGTGCCCGTAGTTTTGACTACAAACCCTACACTGATTAGAAAATATATTCAGTCTCAAAAATAGCTTTCTTCTGCTTTTGATCCTGCAATGCTACCATTAATATATGTGCACATGCGGGGCAGTTTCAAAGGTAGCTCCCCGTGCGCTTGGAATTCTGCACAATATGAGAAAAGACAGGCTGATTTATGCTAATGGTTTGAGGTAGAAAAAAAGGTGTCAACTGGCATGGCTTTGTGACTGTTCTGTCACCTGCTGTGAGTGAAAAGCATGTAGAGTTAGGATGGGCTGCATTTCTGCATTTGCAAGACAGGTTATGCCACACTGCCAAAATAAGCAACTCTGTTCTTTTTGATGCGGTGATCGCATGGGATGATGTGAATTGGCACTGCAGCGTCCCTGCATTCCTTGCGAGGACAGCCATGTTTCTTGGTGTGAGCAGCAGGGGTTGTTGACCTACAAGATGTAGGAGGTTTGATCAGCACATCTGATAGGTCTGCTCTCTGTTCTGACCTATAAGTGAGATTGAATCATTTGGACGGACCTGCTAAACGCATCTTCCACATCCTGTAAGGGGCTGGCTCTGTGGTTCAGTGGGAAAGTGGAAAAAAGGTTCACAGGTAAGGCCTGTGACTGACCAGGAAGAAGTGAGAGGCAGGTAGGCTGCATAATACAGTCCTATGTGGGGTTACCTTTGAAGGTGACCCGGAAACTACAACTAATCCAGAATGTGGCAGCTCGATTGGTGACTAGGAGCGGCCGCTGAGACCATATAACACCTGTCCTGAAAGACCTACATTGGCTCCCAGTATGTTCCCGGAGCTCTATTCAAAGTGTTGGTGCTGACCTTTAAAGCCCTAAACAGCCTCGGCCCAGTATACCTGAAGGAGCGTCTCCACCCCCATTGTTGTGCCCAGACGCTGAGGTCCAGCGCTGAGGGCCTTCTGGCGGTTCCCTCACTGAGAGAAGCAAAGCTACAGGGAACCAGGCAGAGGGCCTTCTTGGTAGTGGCGCCCGTCCTGTGGAACGCCCTCCCATCAGATGTCAAAGAGATAAACAACTACCTGACATTCAGAAAACATCTGAAGGCAGCTCTGTTTAGGGAAGTTTTTAATGTGTGGCATTTTAATGTAGTTGTAATCTTTGTTGGAAGCCGCCCAGAGTGGCTGGGGAAACCCAGCTGGATGGGCGGGGTACAAATAATAAATTATTATTATTATTATTATTATTATTTAAAAAATCACTACAATTTTATCTCAACTTTCCTTCAAGGATCTCACCTGAGCCTCCCCTTCCTCGCACCCCCCCCCGGCGACAGGCTGAGAGAAAATGCCTGGCCCAAGGTGAACTTCATGGCTTCCCTGTTTCCTATGAGGGCAGCACTGGCACTAAGGAAGAGGAAGCTGGCAGTGCCACTTCCTAGTCTAGATATATGTGAGTAAGTAGGCAGGTGAGATCTGGCTGATCGGATGCAGAGGTTGGTTGGGCAGTGCCCAGTTTGCTTTAATAGTTCCAGCCTCTGCTGCCCTATCATCTGCAGCAGCTGGATAGCTCAGTTGGAAGAGCACGAGACTCTTAATCTCAGGGTCCTGAGTTTGAGCCCCACATTGGGCAAAAAAGATTTGTGCTTTGCAGAGGGTTGAATGAGATGATCAATCCTCGTGATCCTTTCCAACTCTACAATTCTTTGGTGATTCTAACTACTCTGGCTGCATCACCATAGGGTTTTGAATCCATCAGTCCAGGCCTAGGCCTCCTTTCCCTCTATGTCTGTTTCCAATACTCCCTGTTTAGGAGGACAAAATTATTGAGGCTGCCCCTCCGCTGACCTTTTTTTTTTTGCTGGTTCCCGGGTGGGATGCCCTTCTGCAGCAGAGAACTAAGATGCCGTTAAACTGCGGACACCCCCTCCCTTCTTTAGCACACGCCTTTCCCGCTAGCATCTGTTCCCAATTATCTCTTGGAAGTGTGTGCAACAGGCAGCTGGGGGCTGGGGTAGGGCGAAGGGACTCGCAGAGCTTGCTTCTCTCCCCCCCCACCCCATGTCACAATAATGGCATTCACTGCTGCACTGGTCAGGGCTTTTCGTTTCATCTGTCCTATCCTGAAGCAGGTCTCATTTTATTTACTCTTTGGGGGGGGGGGAGATATGACAGTTTACAACATGGAATTATGGGAGTCTTTCAGATCCGAAGATGTAACTCCATGCAATTGGCTCCAGCCCCACACATTAGAACCCAGGATTTCTAGTTCTGCTATCCACGCCTCGATCCACTGAGCCCACTAGCCTCTCAAAAGGAGAGAGCCGTTCTGCTGCCTGAGGCCCTGCTCCTCTTTGTCCAAAGCCCGAGAGCTTTAAAGTGCTGGGAACAACCCACATATCGCTCTCCGCTTTCAGGTTCCTCTTTCCAAGCCACTAGTGGGAATAATTCCATGTCACAGGTTAGTCCCCTGAGTGAAGCTCAGCGAATGGGAAGCAGATTGCTGATCAAAGAGCGGGAGGGGGAGATTTAAAGCGATTTCTGCTGCTTTATACATATATATATTTCTGAGGTGGAGATTTAAGCGGGCCAGGAAGATTGGCTGAAGGCTCAGCCCTGGAAAATATGCTCCAGCGTCTTTCCCTCTAAATCTCCACATGTGTCGGTCTGCCACGCTGAGGCCAAGCCCTGCTGACACACAGACCATCACCAGCAGAAACCGGCCGAGGTGTGGTGGCAGAAATTCTCCTGCGATGCTGTGTTGGCAATTGGTGTGTGTGTGTGAGTGCGTGCACCAGTAGTACATGTGTGTGTTTTTGTACACGTGTAAGCAGGATTCTGGGCGAGCGTTGCAGCTGGCCTGGGGGAGGGGAGCTTCAAGACACGAAGCAAAGCACCCGCTGAAAATCCCCTCCAAGAGGATTTGAAAAGAATATTCTGAAGATTTGGGGATTAAAGAGGGGGGTGGAAATTGGCATCTGTATGGGAGGGGGAATGATTGTGCTCTCGGCAGAGGCAGGGCTTGGGAGAAGCATCAGACTCCATGAATGGAAGCTTTGGATTCTTGCCCGTGTTTACATCAGCAAAAGTAGACTGTGGCACATACAACTCCAGGGGTTTGTTTAGAGTAACTGCACTACTTCTAGTTCGGTCAGTAGAGCAGGAGGCTCTTCATCTCAGGGACATGGGTTTGAGCCCCACATTGGCCAAAAGATTCCTGCATTGCAGGGGGTTGGACCAGTGGCGTAGCGTGGGTTGTCAGCACCGGGGGCAAGGCAAGTAATTTGCGCCCCCTAACCCGTGGATTTTAGCAGGGGGTAGAGAGCTGCGAGTGCGAGCGCCCCCCCAGATGTTGCGCCCGGTGCGGCCGGCCCCCCCTGCACCCCCCACGCTATGCCACTGGGTTGGACTAGATGGCCCTCGTGGTCCCTTCCAACTCCATGATTCTATTTCAATTTTTCTCTAAGGGCCTCAATGTGTTATGCATGGTTCTCCTCCTCTGCATGTTTTTCTTCACAACAACCCTATGAGGTAAGGTCACCCAGTGAGCTTTATAACTGAGTTGGGATTTGAACCCTGGTTGCACTCTAACCACTACCCCACACTTCTGCGTGGTTCAAACTCAGCCAATCAGAGCGCATGCGCCTTCCCGCCCTCATGTTGTTTTGCTGTAGCAAGCCTTGGGGCTGTACGCTTTTGCGGTAGTACAATGCATTTTAATCTCCCTTCAAGGATACAAGTGAAAAGGCGGTGGCATGCTATATATCAGAATATTCGGGATAATGATGCATATACAGGAAGCACATGGAGAGGTCCCTATAGTGACCTCAGGCTTCTAGCTCAAGTGCCCAACTTTATGGCGGTGATATAAATCCAATTTTTAATGCATTCGCTGATTTCACCCCAATAACCCTCTTCCAGAGATGGGAATATTAGAAACCAGAAGTCCTTGCTCTTGACACTACTTTCACAAGCTCCTCAATATTTCACAGGTGAAAAATAAAGACGCTTGTGTATTTGTAACACATATTCTAACATCAAGCATCAAGTCAAAAAGTCCTTTACTCTACAAAAGCCTGTCCTCCTCTGCCTTCATGGTTACGGTGTTTTCGAGACACATTAGCTCTGCTCGTCTGTTGCAACAGGGTTTGCAGAGAGTCATGAGGCACCTTAAAGGAATGGATTCAGACCAGGATTAAGGACGGTTCAGACCTGGTTACTTGGTTAATTCGCGCTATGTGCTGCTGAACTAAATGGGGATTGTTTTTGAGTAGGGGTCAGCAAACTTTTTCAGCAGGGGGCCGGTCCACTGTCCCTCAGACCTTGTGGGGGCTGGACTATATTTTGAAAAAAAAAAAAATGAACGAATTCCTATGCCCCACAAATAACCCAGAGATGCATTTTAAATAAAAGGACACATTCTACTCATGTAAAAACACGCTGATTCCTGGACCGTCCATGGGCCGGATTTAGAAGGTGATTGCACCGCATCTGGCCCCTGGGCCTTAGGTTGCCTACCCATGTTTTTGAGTATACAGGCATAGGATGGCAATATTCAAGGGTCCCCAATGGGGTGTCTGGAGGAGCATTTGCACCCACCAAGTCTCTCCCTGGTCCCCACTGCCCTCTGAAATTAGGTTTGAAAGAATAGTTTTACTGTAGCCTGTAGAATCAGCTGTAGTCTGTGCTTGGTTGTGAGGTTGTGTGTGTGTGTGTGTGTGTGTGTGTGTGTGTGGTGCTCACAACAGTTCCTCCAATTGCAAACTTGCCCATAGATCCCAAAAAGTTGGCAATCCCTGCACTATAAATTGGTTGCTTCGTTCCTACAGAAACCAATGGGACTTAAGTCAACTTGTCCCATTGTCTTCAACTAACAATGCAGGATTCAACCCTGAGCATTATTATAGCATAAGCTTTCATGGTCGACATCAGATGCCTGAAATATTATCCATACTTGAAGATATGCAGAGAGAAATGTAGGGAGAGAGAGAGAAAATTAGCTTTAGTACAATTAGCACTTTATTTCTTGAATTTAATTTCCCACTGACCTCACAGCTAATATTTTATTTGTTTCTTTCTTTCTTTGCCAGGAATGGAGGAATTGTGCCATATGCCTCCTCCATCGTTCGATTACATCTCACAAAATCCCTGATTGCTGACCGTGCAGATTGGGGGTGATGGGCGCTGGAGTCCGAAAACATTTGGAGCTCACAGGTTTCCCATCACCATTCTGCACCCCGTTAATTTGACCCAAGTGGAGTCCGAACCAGCAAACACATGTACAGTGGTACCTCGGGTTACATACGCTTCAGGTTACATATGCTTCAGGTTACAGACTCCGCTAACCCAGAAATATTACCTCAGGTTAAGAACTTTGCTTCAGGATGAGAACAGAAATTGTGCTCCGGCGGTGCGGTGGGAGCGGGAGGCCCCATTAGCTAAAGTGGTGCTTCAGGTTAAGAACAGTTTCAGGTTAAGAACAGACCTCCAGAACGAATTAAGTTCTTAACCTGAGGTACCATTGTACCAGAATAAAACTGTTTGTCTTTAAGACACTACAAGACTCTTTGTTGATCATAGCGGTTTCCTTTTCAGCAACAGCAATAAAACCCCTTAGGAACCCTTAAGCAAAACATCTGGATTTCACAATGGAGCCAATAGCACTTCTAGCAGCGACATAAACACATGGGGGTTGGACTAGATGACCCTCAGGGTCTGAAAAAGATTCCCCACCCCATGCTAGCATGCCCTATGCAAGGGTGTGGGCCTCAGCAGGTGCTCTATGGTGCTTTCCTCTGCTCCAGGACCAGAGGCCTTGTGTTTGTATCCCTCTTCCTCCCCAGTCACATATTTAACATCTAGAAGCCCAGAGAATAGGACTGAACCCCATAGAATTGTCAATATAGATGCCTACTTCCCTTTAATATATATATATATAGAAAAAGGCACCTCCCAACATTTTCCCCAAAGGCAAAATAGGGGCAATGATCTATTGGGGGCATGACTAGAAGGGAGAGATCTGTCTCTGAAATAGACGGGTGCTTGAAAGTTGCATGGCACCCAGGCGTTGTGGTTCTCAAGCCCCTTACTCTCCACCCCAGCAGCACCTTCTGTCCACTGGAGCCTGTCGTCCCCCCCCATCACCACTCTGTTGGCCCCCCAATTCCAGCACTCCACTGAGTGGCGGCTGTTTGACGGCAGCTGGACTGCGGAGCGAGTGGCCGAGGATGCGGTGGGAGCGCAGCCACATGTTGCCATAGCCGGCCGGCAGTGTGTGGCTGCGCTCCCAGCCGCCTCCGCCTCCTCTTCTGCCGCCACTGCCATGGCTTCAGATGGGGGACGGGGTGGGGGAGTGTTCGAAGAGATGCCTTCAAACAAAGTTGGCGAGGAGGGGAGGAGCTTTGGCCTTTTCACACATCCCTCTCAAGTTTTGTCTTTTCTCTCTCTCTTCCCCCCTCAGGAAGAAAACACACACACACAACAACAACAACAGCCCCGCCACACACCACCGCCCCTTCTGCTGCTCCCTCAATAGGGACACAGCAGGCTGCGTAACCAAGGGAGACGAGGCCTGTGCTCGGCTCTCGCCTCTCGCTGGGCCTGGGAATTCCGACAGCTTTTTCTGATGCCTCTG